TCCAAAATTTCATTTTTGTATCTATGATATTAAATTAAATATATTGACATTATTAGGTACAATAAATTTACTAAAAATCTAATTGTGCGTTTCTTTTTTTTTAAGAGTGTATATGTTCACCCTCCTCGGTGGTTTGCTTGTCTTGATCACTAATGTGAATTTTCACTCCATTAGTTCTTTACTCTTGTTTTTTGTGCAAGCCCTCGGCTATTGTCCGATATTATTCTCATTCTATTATCCATTGGTTGTTAACGTTGTAGTAGGTGAGGTGAAAATGGGGTTTAACAATGCGCTGAAGATTGTTGCACTTGTATAGCGTCTGTCTGTCAGTTTGTCTGTAATAATGCTGAGATACCGTGCCGAGGTCCCAGACTCAGACACAGTATACTGACTCCGAGCTGACCAGTGCACAGTATCAGTGATAACTTAGTCCTGACTTCCAGTTGTCCATAACTATCAGCGCTAATTACTGTAAAGTGTTTGCTTCCATTGTCTATTGCTAATCACCTATCAGCGCCAATTATCTGTTTGCTTCCCTTGTTAAGTTTCCACCTTTTATTATCTAATTACTTTTGTTGTTCTTACATGTACATATATATGCTCTCTGCCTAATATCATTCATTCCACAAAACTAGCACAAAATGGAGTGAAAGGGAACATGGCAAACTTCATAGACAGCTTCCTGCAAGACAGGTCGCTATCAGTTAAAACAGGGAACAATCAATCTGATCCTATGTCACTGGACAATGGCATGCCACAAGGCAGCCTTTTTAGCCCAACCCTGTTTAACATCATGATCAATGATCTTTTTGATCATATCAACTCTCCTACACATACTTCTAAATTTGCTGATGACGGAGCAATATGGGTGAAGCATAGATCGAGATATTTCACAAATCCGAAAAAAACAAAACACTCAGCCTCAGACGGAGTAGATCAATGGTGCAATAAATGGAGGTTCACCCTTTCAAGCGAAAAAACTGTGGGAGTTCTATTCAAACGCAGGGGGAAAGATGCTATGATACCCTGTCTCTCCATAAAAGCCAAACCAATCAAATTAAAAAACATCTGCAATATTTCTAGGGGTGATCCTTGATCAACACCTCACTTGGCGCAAATACAGATGTTAAAAAGACCTGAACGTATTATGGGCAATTTCAGGCGACTCAGCTGGACCTCTACAAATCACTTATCAGATCAAAAAAAGACTATGATTGTGAGCCCTTTCACTCAGCATCAAATACTGTCTTAGGTCGCCTCAACACAATACAATACAAAGCCCGAATGCTGGTACTTCACTATAGGAGCACTACAAGTAGAAACAGGAGAACTCCCATTGAAACAAAGAAGAGAGCAGGCAATAACATTGTTCTGGGGACGAACATAAAACCCTTTGGTGAAAAAAATATGGCAAGACCAAAGCACCTGAGATGAAGCCCTAGCTCGGAAAAATCCCTCACTAAAGCCACATGGGATATCACTACGAGAACTCATCCGAAATCACAATTGTGATGACATTCAGCCTCCAGAAAGTCACTACAAAGGGTTACACCCTCCCTGGACTTTAAAAACTCCCAAAGTTGACACTGCTTTAACATCAGATGTCAATAAGAAAGAAAAACCAACCCCACTACGATCAGTAGCTGTCATTAAAATTCAAATTAACTGGGACAGCTGGGCCCATATTTACACTTATGGACCCAAAAATCCTGTCAACAACAGTGCTGGTTACGGGATCCATATCCACAGTTCCAAACCCCAAACATCGAACGAATCATCGCACGTGTAATTTATACAAAGCTTCGAAAACGGAGGTATTGCCAGATATTTTCTCATGTCACTGAGTGGAAAGCCACTATTATCGGGAAATATATGGTGATAGATCGTACTTAAAATTATTTTTATCATGATTTTCCGATTACTTAACAATGAAAATTAAAACGAGTTATCTGAGTGCACAACATCCCCCGCATGAATTTTTTTAACCAGTCAAATGAAGCTCCGTAAAACAGGGGCAGTAACTCAGTCAAAACTTGGCGAAATGAAACGGGACTGCGATATGCGTATCATCAACATGTCAACATCTTGTGTGTAGAGTGTCAGGGATGTTCACTGGAAACTGTAAGAGGAGTTGATTTCACAAGCTAAGTACCCTCACTCACAATTAGGCAAATGAAGCTCCGTAAAACTGGGGCAGTAACTCTGTCAAAATTCATCGAAATGAAACGGGACTGCGATATGCGTATCATCAACATGTCGACATCTTGTGTGTAGAGTTTCAGGGATATTCTCTGGAAACTGTAGGAGGAGTTGATTTCACAAGCTTAGTACCCTCTGTGGGACGGATGGACGGACTGTGCAACGACATAATCCCCCTTCAGCCATTCTGGCCCGGCTGGGGATAAAAAATAAGTTAGTGGATAGGTCTATTATGAAATCTTAAAATAGCCGAAAATCGCCATAATTTTCACTCCCTTCGTGCCAAATGTAGAAGTAATGTGTTATCCAAAACAAACTTAACTAAGTTATAAAGGTATTATTTAAATAATGTGATAAACATAACTTTCACATTTATAAACAATAGGATTAGTCCTTTCAAATGGTGTATGACATGTAGTTGCAAAGATTTTTTACAATCTGATAATTTCTTTGATAAATGTAGGCTTCATCTATCACCAGTCTCTTGGAACTCAGTGTTATAGCAGTAAAAGCTTCTGGTTGACTGGTTGTGTTTTGTCATGTTTATTGCAAGAGTATGTCTCCCTGCTTCAGCTAAAATGTTTGGGCCTACAGTTTTCACTGAGCCAGCTTGACAAATTTACAGACATATCAAAAATCCAATGTCACAATATAGCACCCAAAGTTGCCACATAACGTCTCAGTAAATCAGACTCCCAACCCCAAACAGATTATGTGTCCCTCGTGAAGTAATTTCAAAAGTATCTGGCCAAGGCTTAGCATTTACAAAATTAATTATATTTCTGTGTATGTTATTCTCTAAATGAACACTATGCATTGCAATGTACTGCTGTTGTTATGCAAACACACATGTTAACAGTCATTTTATAAGAAGAGAAGCATTGTGATATATATCTAAACATCTGGTTAAATGCGTCTCACTCTCTGTGTGTGTGTGTGTGTGTGTGTGTGTGTGTGTGTGTGAGAGAGAGAGAGAGAGAGAGAGAGAGAGAGAGAGAGAGAGAGAGAGAGAGAGAGAGAGAGAGAGAGAGAGAGAGTATGGTTTTATGCCGCTTTTAGCAATATCACAGCGTGGGGACACCAGAAATGTGCGAGAGAGAGAGTGAGAAAAACAACGGGTAATTATCAGCAATATTCCAGCTAAATGATGGTGGTCTGTATATAATTGATTCTGGATAAGACAATCCAGTGAATGATTTCATGAGCATTGATTAATGCAATTGGGATGAGATGACATGTATCAACTAGGTCAACAAGCTTTACCACCCCTTTCCATTAGACACCTCAGACAGCAGTAACAATTATAAACTGGATCGTCAAGGGGAGGACAATAGTAGTATGCTGTTTGCTGAATCACACCTGAATTGCTGAATAAACAAGGATAAGTATTTCTTACTTATGACGTTTTACTGAACATTAAAAGAGGCACTGCTGCAACAATGTCTTTGTGTATAATCACTGTAATACAAACCCAAAATAGCCTCTAGGTGTGTAAAGTTTTATTTTACGGTGTCATAAAAGCTCAATATACAGAATAAAGCAAAGTCTCCAGTCAGGTATCACAGGGGTGTCTCCAATGTACAAGTCATCCTACAAGTCTACCTGGGGGAAATGGTGATATAGATATTTGATTCTATATCAACCTACATCTGCACATTCTCTGTCCTGTCATTTAATCAAGTCTTTTGAGTACTGAATCCAGATTGTACATATCTGCAACATCATAGATATTTTCTATACAAAAGTTATGATGCCTCTCATCACGGTGAAGACAAATAATTTTCATGGTAGTGTTTCCTAAAATGAAGTGACAATGAGTTTGTGCAAGATGTAGAAAGACATTTAACCTGGGATATTACAGCAAGAGCATGTAGTATGAAGTATTATTTTCAAGATGAAGAGAGCCAACTTAAAATATATATACAACAATTCACCATACTAAAACCATTAAGATGACGCACACTATCGTTGCTGCGGTCGATTCTGAGCCAGGAATTTACTGGCCATTCTCAATGTGCATATTAAACAAGTAAAACTGATACAACTATAGGTCATTATGCAAATTAATAACATGGTTCAGTTAGAGAAATCACATAAATCTGCTGATAACAGAAGTAGAATCAACAGATCCTCATGATTTTTCCGTCACCTCATTGTGCTGATGATGCAATATTGACTACTAATGACACTGACTTAGGCTCATGTAGAAATGTTTGTGCATAGATTCTTAAGTCAAACTAAGTTTTCAATAATATTTAGTGATATGTAACAGTATTTGGAAATATATTTTTAAAGCACAATACCCTCTATGATAATCAGATAACCTGCTAAATATTTCAGAGAAATCAGAGCAATCAGGACATGTTTGGAGACCTTTTTCATAAAACATATTACACACTCTGACATCATGAATTATAACTCATCCAAATATAATGTTAAGTCTCAGCAAAATACTTTCATTGTAATATCATCTCTGCAGTATAACTTCTGTAGTATTCATTGTTATCATCACATCTAACAAGTCATAGATAATATGAAGTGAAAATACCATATTTGACGTAATAAGCGCCCAGGGCGCTCTCAAAATTATAAATAGGGGGCTCTTATTAGAATATTATTTTGGTGGAAAAAACAGAGTTGAAAGATAAATTTCGTGGTTTATGCTGACGGCCTGACTGTTTAAATACAACAGATATATTTTTCCAGAATTTAATTGCCCATAGTTAAGGGTGCATATAACACACGCGTGCATATTATACACGAATAAAGAAGTCTTGCGTACATTGATCATTCAGAAGGGGTGCTAATTGGGATTGTTCACTTGCCAATATATTAGCAAATATCGCCATGGGCGCTTATTAGAGCGGGGCGCTTATTACGTCGAATACGGTACCATAGAATCATGTTAAGGATATTTGATATGTATACAGCAACATGCAAACAACTTTTAGTGTCTTCTCTTACAAACGAAACATTTGAACTACAGCAGAACAAAAAAACAATAGATATTTCAAAGTATGTTTCAGCTTCAGGACGACAATAACAGAGAGAAAGAAATCTTAACACAGCAGTGAACATGTCCAATACCCATTATTGACCTTACGTGAATATTACAGCAGTTTGCATGAAAATTCATCAATCTCAATAAAACAAACATGTGTCCATGTTGAAACAGTCAGTCAGCCATATTACACAATGACTATGGAACCAGGGTGCCATTGTACAAAGCGACCTTAGCGCTAAGGTGATCGTAACCCCCCATACCTTAACATAGACTTGCGACAGTCGTAGCGCTAAGGTTGTTTTGTACAACAGTACCCAGATCCATCTTATACACACACTCACATTTCTTGTGTAGACCATCATACACACAAACACACACATACACAGAATGAATGCTAAGCTACAGTGTTAAAATCCACATATTACAACAATGAAGTGAACCTTTCTGTGTCTACCAGAGACATGGCTCCTATTCATAAATACATTTAAAACTGTCACTGCACTGGATACAATCCATGTGTGGGATCACTCAGGTTAAAATATTTCTCTCTCATGGCCTCTACTGAACTTGGCAAGGGATAAGAAGAGTTCTTGACTGGTCCGTTCAACAGGATCCCATGGCCCTATTAAAACAGACTAAACTTGCACAGTAAGTGTATCTAATTCAGTGACAAGTACAACTGCCTTGTTGGTAAAATGGATATGTGTCTAGAAGGTGTCGGTATTAAAACGGCCTGTAGCTAGAGGGATATCGGACTAGCATCCAGTTGCCTATATGCCTCACGCAGTGATCCCAGTTCAGATAAGAGTACATCTGAAACAGAACAAACAACAATGGCTATTCATTAAGAGTAGAGTGCAGTTGTTCATTGAAAGGTGAAGGGAAACATCGAGTTCAATATTGTTGCACTTATTAAGCGACATGTATGCACATGTGTGTGTGTGTGGGGGGGCTTCCTGTACTTGTCCAGACTTTGTCCGATTTTAAAGTGCTAGCCCACAGAGATACCATGCCGCAGTTTAACATAAAAAAATATCCCAACCAAAGCACAGTGTACTGACTCCGAGCCAATAAGGCACAAGTACCATCTTTTAATGTCTTGTCTTTTAATGTATGATGCGGCCAGTGATCAGAAAAAGAACAGGATTAAGAACTGATTAAGGTGATAAAATGATATCATGATTGGCTATAAAAAGTAACTGGACACATTTACATAACACCTAGCTTATGATCGATTCAAAATTCAGCTGCATAGCATCAAACACATAGTTCTTTCCTAGCCACATTATTAAGACAGCTTGTCAAAGCATGCTGATTCTTAATCCTTGAATGAATGATGAGGCTTACTGTCTTTATCTTTGACTCTACATCCCGTGATCCCTTGTCTTCCTGTTGCTTCTGGAGGTACTTCACTGCTCTACCATACTGCTTGTGTGCTATAGCATGTCTCACAGTGAACGGCAGCACCTAAAACCATATCAATGTCGGATTACAAACATGGTGTTAGTAAGGAGTCATTCAGATTATACAGGGATAGAAATTGACTATAGTCCAATTCAGGTCGTCTAAAGTTAAAGGTATCCCAAGGTATCTCGAGGTATCCAGGGTGTGTCAATTATATCCTCGATTCAAAATATAATGTTGCAAACAGCTGTAGTACATGTGTGAAATTAGAGGGATATCTTCGTCAGTATCCTTAACCGTCACAGCTATCCAACAAAAGACGACCTATTCCTCTCATCACTTGTGTGATGTTTCCTTTTCACAAAGTGATGGTAACACCTGTATAAGATAATGCTGGCAGAGTAGGAAGGACCAGCAAAATTACTGAAATATTGACAAAATATAAAACAAACAAAAATCCTCAAATCTATTACAAGTGGATGTTGTTTTCCAGTATTCCAGCTATATCAAGGTGGTCTTTAAACAAACAAGCCTGAGTCAAACAAACAAGTGGTTGACTGTATGATCCAAAGCATTTGGGAAACAATGACACTAAATCACTGGTTGGCTCTCATGACAGTCATGGAATCCTGAGGATCTATTCTGCAACAAGAACTCCACTGACGTTTCTCTTGAAACTATTTCCAAAAGTAGTCACCTTGGCATCTGTGAGGTCAGCCCACTTCTGAATCTCCACAAACGTGTCATCCAGATCCTTCATGGAGACCTGGGGTGGCACAATGACCGAGGAGGAATCGTCTGTGGAGTCGGTGGCTTCCTGAGGTTGTGAGAGGACATCAGCCTGTGCACAGCCTAGATGGACATACGCCTCCACCAGGGCCGACTTCTGCTTGTCCATCTCACTGTGGACGGTCAGGGAAACATTAACTCATCATACATGTACATGGGACAGGAAACAGGTTAAAAAAGCTTTCAAAAGTTAACAATAACATAACACAAACAAATGTTATCCTACTTGCAAATGAGTCGAAATTTTCCCAAATTTGTATATTGATTAGATTTGTATAACGCCAACTCAGCATTCCTCCAGCTGTAAGATGGGTGGCTTCTAAATAATCCAGCTTGGACCATACAAACCAGTCACCAAGTCTGACCACCCAAACCATGAAGTTGCCTTGTATGACAAACATAGGTTGTGGGGGACCTATGAAACAGTCAGCATTCAGTGCTTAGATGTATTTACAACAGTGAACTATTGGTGGACATTCCAACAGGATATAGGAGATTTGTTAACAATGGTAGCACAATAACCATGTCAAAGCATGTAGGGAGTTCACGTTCTGGAAAACAGAGCATAGTCGTAACAAGCAGTATATCCAGCATTGTACAGGAGGGCCATGTCTATGCATAAGGTGAGGGAGTTCCTACAGGGTACATGGGTGGCCCAGTCGTCTAAGGCGCCACGATTCGCTTTGCAGAGTTGCGTCCCTTGGGCACGCCAGAAACCTTTAATTGTGGGTTCAAATCCCGGTTCGACCCAATTATGTTTCTAGGTTTGTCAGCACTATACCCATGCTCGTGGGTTTCACTTCGGGCTTTCCTCCTACATTAAGCTGACACGCCGCGATATAACTGGAATACTGTCAAAAGCGGCGTTAAACCCAACTCACTCACTCCTACAGGGTAATCCACACAATCCCGATAAGTTTAACATCATCAGAGCTTACAGAAATATACCCATCTATTTGAATCCTTCTTTACAACAGGCTGATAGCAGCACATTCTACCCTGGATGTTAACTTGACAGTGCAGAGAAAGATATCTGTAGTCAAACATAGCTCAAACCTTTTGACAGTTGACGCCTCTGGCCTTGAGTCATTCTTCATGCCGTAGAAGGCTAGCAAACTTGGCTGGTCAATCTTTGAGATGATATGACGAGATAGAGATATGATATCTCCCAGGTTGTTTTCATGGTCCTGAAACACAACAGAGGCAAATTTGTTTATTAAACATACTACAGTAGAAATGGTATGTCAGGGCTCGATTTAGCTCTATAAAACATGCATCTGTGTAACATATTATTGAAAAGTGCAACCTAATATTTATGTCTACATGCACTAAGTACATGTGCCAAAAAATTCAAATTTGTATCGGACCAACCCTTACTTACACAACATCAATCCGTGAACAAACTCAATGTGTCTAAGTTTTCTTTACTAATCCCTGTGTTGTGTCGGTTTCATGACATAGGACACAGTCATCACAGGTCTGTGATTTTACTTTTTTAGACAAGTTTATGCATCTGTGTTTCAACTTTGATAAATTCATGGGACCAGGGTGCAACCTGATTTTGTCTGGTGCAACTAGCTTTTCACAGCGTTGTTTAAATGGTTATTAATATGGAAACAATATCAATCAATCTCTTTGCGTGAAAAAGAACTAACATTTTTCAGGCTTTTAAAATACATGCATTTGACCCTTTCAACTTTTGATTCACCAAAATTGCCTCACTCATACTGTTTCAGAAGGTTCATGAACAACATATAATAATACAAGAAAAAAATAATATTATCATTACATTGCATTTAAACTGCAAGTCACTGAAGTGCATGGGTTGCATAGCAAACTTATGTCTTCTATCTAAACCCAGAGCTAAATAGTCTTAACAGCAACCCAAGTGAAGGACATCGGCCAATAGCCCATCGCCTCCACTGCACATCCAAGCTAACGCAGTGCTCACCTCATCTGTGTCCAGGGCCTGAAGTCTGGCAATGTATAGAGGCAGGTGGTTGGGGTAGTCCTTCCGCAGTTCATCATACAAAGCATTACCAAGCTCAAATCTGCAAAGCAAACATCGTAGCTGTTAGTTTGACCCAATAAAGAAACTAATTTACACCAAGACTAATTACTTCCTGTGACCATCCAGGTTAGAATTGATCTTCAGCAACCCATGCTGGTTGAAAGAGGTGACTAACAGGAACAGGTGGTCAAACTTGCTGGCCGGGTTGATGCATGTCATCGTATCCCAATTGCATAGATCGATGCTCATTATGTTAATCACTGGTTTGTCTGGTCCAAATGAGATGTCGGGTAGCCTAGTGGTTAAAGCGTTCGCTCATCATGCCAAAGACCCGTGTTTGATTCCCGACATAGGTACAATATGTGAAGCCCATTTCTGGTGTCCCCCGCCGTGATATTGCTGGAATATTGCTAAAAGCAGCATAAAACCATACTCACTCACTCACTCTGGTCCAAACTTAATTATTAACAGACCGCCATCATAAAGCTGCAATATTGCTGAGTGTGGCGTTAAACAACAAACAAAATATTTGACAAGGTAAAGAAATGGCAAAAAGAAATCTCAAAAAGGGGTGATCAAATCTTCTCGGCTTCATATCCAGTTAGCCAATAATGATAATTTTCAGTTGCCTAAACCGATCCAATCCTGCCATGTGAACAGTATCCACAACACTTTATTAGATCAACCAGATCCTGTTTCCGTACTTGGTTATCCAGGAGACCTTGAGATCTCGGACAGATTCGTTAAACTCTTCCTCCTTTGTCTTCTTCTCCTTCTCCTTCTCCTTCCCATTACTCTTACTGTTGTTGGACTTCTTGGGGTTCTCCGTCAGGACATACTTGAACGGTACCGAGCTCTGGGGTGAGAAACAGAGATATGTTAACTTGTACAGTGAATGAATGAGTTTGGTTTAACACCACTTTGAACATTTTTCAGTTATACATATATCATGGCATGTCAGTTTCATGTGGTACAGAAAAGTTTGAAGTCATGCAGGTCTTAGACGTTTATCACTGTGGTGAAACTCTTGGGAATGGTGCTCAGAAACCCAGAAACCCAGAGCAAACCACGATTCCATCATAGATTTATGGGACACCATAATGGTGAGTGAATGAGTGAGTGAATGAGGTTTTACGCCGCTTTTAGCAATATTCCAGCAATATCACAGCGGGGGACACCAGCAATGGGCTTCACACATGTCGGGAATCGAACCCCGGGTCTTCGGCGTGACGAGCGAATGCTTTAACCACTAGGCTACCCGAACGCCCCCCCCCCCACACACACACACACACATAATGGTATAGGGGCACAACTCGTCACAGCAAATTGTGGTGCTGTAGACATTTGGGCCATTTGTGGTCCCATAACTTATACAGGAGTCAAGTTTAACATGAACTTTAGACATTATGGACATGGACATTAGAGCAATATATTTTATGAGGAACATTGTCACTGCAACAGAAAGGTGGGAAAATAAATTGAAATGTGAGCTTACTGCTTTTTTGGATGGATCATCTTTAACCAGGGACATTGTCCCCAGTAGGAAATGTCCGGCAGATGCTCCCTTAGGCAGCCTGGAAACACAAAGTGTCATACAGATGACTCACCGATGTCCTCTAAGTAATTTCAGATTTCACTACTAATCAATCCGCTATCATCATCCTTCTGATGTACCATCTACATGATCTACTGTCAATGTCATTGTCAAAGAAACCTTGTTAATTTAACATTGAAATATGTTATCTTCCCCAAAGCTCGAGATAAGCTGTGTATTTGCTTAAAATATGCATTAAAGAAAGACGCTGACAAATCAAATCCTGGCGTATAAAATACACAACTATAAATTTGCTATTATAATATAGCTAATGTATACATTACAACTGTTAGATAAAATGATTGTGTATCAGCATATCGCGAAATTCACGAAATTCATAGACCATTACATTCAGAAAAGCTAGTGCGGCAAACAGACTCGAATACTGATAGATTCCAATTGCAGAACACATCATGCCAAGTCAGTGTATCTTAAACAGTCGCTGATTGGTGTATACTATAATACATATAGTTTTAAATGATTTACAAGGATTTTAACGAAACAGGTTAAAATACCCAAATGTCAAGAAATAGGTGGGTAAATGTTCTTGAAATACCCTCTAAAAATTGTGGCTGCCCCCCAAAAAATCAAAACTCTGGGTAAAATACCCAAACAACCAAAAGCTTATCTGGAGATCAGCTGCTCAATTAAACTGTCTGATTTCCAGTTTCAATAGGTGAGTTGTGCCTAATTATACATGTGTGTCTTGGTTGGTTTAACACAAATATTGTTTTATATCAGATTTATTGTTGCATTGTTACAGGGTTGACAAACAGTTATCAGCTACCAAATAACTGTTCAATGGAATATAATGAACGACAGCTCTATGATTATCTCCTATTGGTCTTTATTTCAATTCTAATTCCATGAATCACTTACTTATCCTCAGACATGGGCGCCACATATAATGGATAGACCATTCCTTTGACAACTGCGAATGAAGAGACCTTCTTGCCAGCAGTCAGAGCATTTTGGGGGTGGTTGTAGACATCCAGAGTGACGGAGGTGGCAAGCTTGTGATGCAGCATAACTACTGCATCCTTGATCCTCTCCAGGCTGTCTCGGGACTCATGTCTCACCTGCATCAGCAGCTGGTAGTCCCCCTTCTCCAACTTACAAGTGTACTGAAGCACAGGCCATTGGAAACATGTTAACTTGATGTGGGATGAGTGTATGAGTGTATGAGTGAGTGAGTGAGTGAGTGAGTGAGTGAGTGAGTGAGTGAGTGAGTTGGGTTTAACGCTGCTTTTAACAGTATTCCAGTTATATCGTGGCGTGTCAGCTTAATGTGGGAGGAAAGTCCTAAGTGATGCAGGTCTCAGACGTTTTACCACTTCGGTGAAACCCACGAGCACGGGTATGGTGCTGACAAACCTAGAAACATAATCTGGGCAAACCGGGATTCGAACCCACAATCATAGGTTTCTGGTGTTCCCAAGGGATGCAACTCTGCACAGCGAATCGCGGTGCCTTAGGTGACTGGGCCACCCATGCGCCCGATGTGGGAGGATGGATGAAAGTGACACACTGAGGCCATAGACATTTACCACTTGGTTAAACCTACCAGCACAGTCTGGTCCTCATAAACCATGGATGATCATCAGGGCAATTTAAACTTTGAATACAAGCGCCTTGCTAACATACAGTCAAACCCCATTATCTCGAACCTAGCGGGACCCTTCGACATATCCGGACATTCAAGACAACGAGGCTTGAACATTATATCATACTGCGGTTGGGATAGAAAAATAAGCTTGAGATATCGATACATCCGAGATAACGAGGTTCGGCTGCATATGGAAGCAAACAGTTAAAATGATGACAGAGCATTTTAGTTAAACTGCACCAAAAGTCAAAATGATTCAGAATTGTATTTTGAGCCTAAAGAGTCAGATTTGTAAGACCATGTGTAGGATTCAGCAGAATCAATGCCTAAAATACATAATTGGCAAAACAGAAACTTCAAAATCTTTCCTATGAAAGGATGACTCATCTACACTTTACGTGAAGTGATCGTTCAATAATGAAATGTAAAGCATTACCTGATTGGGATACGCATCTCCTGATGCTATGAGTTGTTTGTTGGAGTCAAAGATCATCCAAAGCTGACTCTCATATTCAGATTCATACAGCATATGACTGAGCAATGAGCAGTCTGGCATCACCTCACCAGCCTTACTCTGTAAACACAAATAATATTTACATACAAAATAGGCCTGGGATGGGTAACTCGGCTGCAGTAAAACAATTCCCAATTAGACATTTTGTTCCCAACTCTTTATGCCTACAGTGGGTACTCGGGAAGGGTCGGGTAATAGGGGGGTCGGGTACTCGGGGGGTCGGGTACTCGGGGGTCGGGTAATAGGGGGGTCGGGTAATAGGGGGTCGGGTAATAGGGGGGTCGGGTAATAGGGGGGGTCGGGTAATAGGGGGTCATGTACCCGGGTAGTAAATTTGGACTCCTCCAAGCCCTAATACAAACAACACAAATCTTCTCAAAGTCAGAGATCCAAACAGAAACCTCAACATCAAATCAGCTCTTAAAGTCTTTTAATTACGGCTATCAGTCTTATTTCTGAACCCAAAACATCAAGGTGACATGTTCACAAAAACTTATTCATGCCTAATGTTTTATGCCAGTCAGCACAATCACAGCCACGTCAAACCAGTTTCTTAATCATAGTCCTGGAAAGTCAGTAGTCAATAGTATGTGAATAATCCATGCTATCCAGATCCAATGGCACCTAATGAGCCAGGTGACACATTGTAACCATCCTAATATTAGCTGTGTTTTGAACGACAAGCATGGTGTACTGGGTACCTAGGAATAAGTGAGATCGATCTAACAACAAAAGTACAAAGTGATGAAGGATGTAGAAGTATGAATTATTAGGGTAAAAATATCATTTATACTTATCCTGACTCATACTCAACAGGAAACATCTCACCCAAACACACCCCTCTCATCATGCTCATGTGCATGCACACGGGAACCACGTGATCAACCGTGACTCATCACTTATCACTCATCCTTATATTCTCCTCAATTTCTTAGGTGGAAACATCAGAGAGCAGTGACAGCAGGACGGGTACTTCAGGCGTATAATTCAGGATAAGTAAAAATGATATTTTCACCCTAAAACTTCACATTTGACCTAATCCTGACTCATACTAATTGCTTGAATCTCAGTTGGTGGTGGGTCTTTACTGGATGTGCGAGTCTGGACGTGGTCTGTTCTGTGCAACCCCCATGGGAATGTGGTAAGACATCTTCTAGGTCCATTGCCTGCATTCTTTATGGTTACAACTGTGGGGTACAACCTTCTTCTGAAACACCCTCGCATAATATTGCTAGGGCGCCGTGGTCCAAGCCTGAGGGTCCAGTACTGGGGAGACGAAGGTTGCAATTTGTCTGTTAACCTGGCTGCAAATAGGTCCAACGATAGGCAACCTCTTTCCCTTGCCACCAGTTTGAATGCTTCTGGATAGAGCATCCACTCCTTGAAGGTGTGGACTGGTGTCTGCTAAGACATGGATGCACCTGGAATGTCTAGCCTTCATTCTCCAATTCAGGCTGTCTGTTAGATCATACAACTGGAATGTTTACCTTAGAAGGGAGTAGATCTTGTCATGCCTTGGAGGTTTATGTAGAAGGCCACAGTCTGTTCTTATCATCAAGTGCTTGTCTCTTAAATGTAGTGCCCAATGAGATATTGGCTGGATTACTGCCTAGTACTCCAAATGGTTTATGTGGAAGAGTTTTTTGTCTGTGGACCACAGCCCCAACATGACTACCGAGTCGAGATGGGCACCCCATCCTTGCAGTGAGGCCTCTACAAATAGGTGTTGATTGTATTCCGGCTCGTTCAAGTAAGTTCCTCTGCAACAAATGGCCTGTATTGTCCACCATTTGAGCATCTTCCCGAGGCAAGTGAGTTAACTGACTATAAAAGTCCAGTTTCCACCCTTGCCGAACTAGGCTGGTATTATGGAGTTAAATTTTGGCTGGACTAAGAAGTCTATGCATAGTCCAATCAAAAGCGTGCAATGAAATCGAAACCAGGTTCGTAAACTGTTATGCAGATTTCCGTTGATTGCAGGATTTGCAAAGCATGTGAACCACCAAATCATTGTGAACAGTTATTTTCCTAATCTTTTCATGTTTTTAATCAAGGTGCTCACGTGATTTGATGCACTTCGCGATGGAAGACCTGTTTTATCACTATATTGATCAGATCGTCTTGACTGGGTGCCTCCATTTTGTTTGAAGCAAATGCAAGTGATACAAGAGGTGGAATCTGATTGGTCCATAGGAGAGGCATAGAAAAAGGCTCTGTAATAGCCACTGGTGGTGCTCCGATCAAGCCCAGAAATTCCAGCCTAGTTCGGCAAGGGTGGAAACTGGAATTTTATTGTCAGTTAACATGGTTAACTACCTTGTCTCGGGAAGATGCCATTTGAGATGGTTCTTCAGATGTTGTGGAAGTTGAAGTTTCAGTTCTTGTTGAGGAACGGTTTAAGGAATCTTTGTATGGTGTGTAGGTGAAGCCTGGCCCATACTGTCAAGGTCAGTAGACGTAGGGTCACTTGCCATGAAGAGATCGATATTCTTTTGTAAACTACTGCTGGAAGATAACTTTGGATTTTTATCCAATGATCTGCTGCAACTTGAATAGGGTTCTGCCCCGTCATGAACCTAATGCCCAAGAACGTGAGATCTTGGGATGGGTTGAGATCTGATAGTTGACTACCCATCCTAACTGTGTTGGTAGATTCAGAGCAAAATTCAGTTGAAGTCGTCCAAGTAAAAATGCATAACAGATAACCACGGGACTGTATAAGAGCAGGACTGTCCTTTGTTAATGATGACCCTTGTAGAGGAAGCGCAGATATTTCCTGGGCCCACTTGCACAAAGCGATCTTAGCGCTACGACTATTGTAAGCCTATGTTAAAGTATGGGAGTTACGATCATCTTAGCGCTAAGATCGCTTTGTGCAAGTGGGCCCTGGAGGCAGGATGACTGGGATGTGAAGGTAAGCATCTTGGGAGATCGATGTTTGCCAAATAGTCTTCCTGCTTTTCATTGGCTTCAGTTCTAAATCATGCTAAATTTGTCTGGCTTTTGGAGATACTTTTTGTTGAATTCTTTCATGTTGTAGATTAAACAAAAGTATTCAAATGATTTCTTTTGGGCGACTAAGAAACTTGGTGAATAGAAACCTGGAGATAGGACGTTGGGTTCTACTATTTTCACTGCTCCCTTTGTGAGAAGAGTGCCAATCACTTCTGTCTACCTGGATTGTAGAGCTTCTGGATATTGAAATTTCGGTGGGTTGTGATAAGAGTGGAGGTTCTTGGCGTAGAGGTGGACTGTATCAATTCTGAGGATGATCATTATGAATAGATCTCTTAGAATGTCCCAATTTCTCCAATATCTTGCCAGTCTTCAACCTACTGCTGATTGCTGTACTTCAATGACTGGGGGTCGTTTACAGCTCCCCTTCAGAGGTGAGTACGGCATCCTCTAGATCCCCTCTCCCAGCTGGGATGATCATGTCTGTCTGGTGGTTTACGAAATGATCCGTTCTTGACTCGTCTGAAACCACTGTAACGCTTGTCATTGGCCTTCTGCATGACAGAGAAGCTGCTCTTGTTTGTAAATTGAGTCCATGGTCTGAGCATCTGGTCTTAGAGTCTTGGACCATCTCCTTATTAATGCTACAGATGCAGCCATCGAAGATGTAAGAAGAATCCCGTGACTGATGTGAAAAGACTTGGTGTAAAGATCAGACCAGTGGGAGTTGGCTATCAAGCCCTGGTGACAAAGAAAAGTAAGGCCAGCTGAGATGAACTGACATGATGGGAGGCAAGTCAAGTCAGTGTGTGAAGATGCAGGTGCAGAGACCTGCGGAAATATACAAGGCTGCACAAATGTTGAAGGCTGCGTGAAAGTCAAGTGTTGCGCAAAAGTAGGAGGTTGCATGAATGCCGGTGGCTGGGCGCAGGTTCGTGGCTGTGTAAAAGTCTGTGTCTGGTTGAAGGCTGAATGAATGTCCCGTTTCTTCGTCTGAAGGAGGGGATGGTGTAAAATCTTCTTCTTTGAGGATCCCGCCTCTTCCTGTCCATCTTCTTCCTCTTGACTGCGTAATCATAATCAGCAAACACTTCTTCATCCAAGAATCAGAAATCGCACCTATCCTCTGCAGTACAGTTGCGTTTAGTGCATGTAGAACAAACGGTGTGTGGATCATTACCAGATAGATGCATATGACACGTTGTACACGTTTTCATACTGAAAACAAGGGAATTTTCAAAAAGCCACAGGAGAAAAATTCGGTGTCAAATTTAGAAAATAATTGTTGAATGTAATATAGGAAGGTCTCAAGAAAGTAATCCAAGCCTAAATATAAATCGGAAGGGCCAAGATGATGAAGATGACTTAGATTAGAGAGCACAAAATAGAAACCACCAGTTAGCCAGCGCGAAAATAACAGATAGATGAGTCAGACAGTGTGTCTTGTGGTTCCGGTGCCCATGCGCGTGAGAGAGTTGCTTTTGGGTGAGATGTTTTCTGTTCACTGGGAACGCTGCACAAGATGTTTCCACTACGTTTCAGGAATAAGATTAGATAAACATTTAGTATGAGTCAGGATAAGGTAAAATAAACAACTTTGATAACACCCATGAGCATGGGCATAGTGCCGACAAACCAAGAATCACAAGAGTGAATTCCATGAAAACAAGATTTTGCACACCTAAGGAATGCAACTCTGCAAATGAAGTGTGGCATCTTGCCTGACAGCCACTGATGCCCCTAAATAAGAATGAGGTACACTGTTTACACCACTATATGACTCATACTGACCATGTGGAAGCTGTAGGACAGCTCTATACCATAGATCTGCCTGTTCTCTGGAAGACAGTCTCTAGCACCGTGTAGACACCGAATACGATGTTCAGATGGCCTGGAAACAAGCAGAAACACTACAGTCCATCACTAGTCAACAATGCGATAAGTCTTCTTAATACAACTTTAGTTCCAACCTTAACAGTGATGAGAACAATTGTTATATGTAACGGTTGTCTTGAGTTCTAGAACATGACTGTACCTGATAGGCTGCACCATGGTTTTCAGGTTAATAGAAGGAAAGCATTCCTCATTCTTCAGCTGGGAGCGGACATTGAATCGTGAAATGCCCTCTGCTACATGCTGAAACACAATGTGGGGATAAGCTTTCGGTTTGCCATTTCTACACATACATACATGATATAAGTACCGAGAAAATTACAGTCAGATATTGAAACAAGACACATATTCTGCATCAGTACATACTGGAACACAGTTTTAGAATAAAGAACATTCAGATTGTCATCTCTACATGTGACCGCCTCCGTGGTCTAGTGGTAGAGCGTCCACCCGGAGAGCGGAAGGTCCGGGGTTCGAACTTCGGCCGCGCCATACCAAAAGACGTTAAAAGATGGTACTTGTTGTAACCCTGTCTGGCGCTCGGCATTAAGGGGCTAAAACAAGGACTGGTCGGCTTGGAGTCAGTATACTGTGTCTGAGGGGGGTATTCATGTTAAACTGCAGCATGGTATCTCAGTGGGCTAGCACTATAAATCGGCATCAGTCCGGACTAGTACAAGCAGCCACACACACACACACACGTACATGCACGTCGCTATATAAGTGCAATAATCTTGGACACGACGTTAAACACCATTTCACCTCACCTCACCATCTCTCCCTGTGCATGATATGTAAGTACAGAGGATATTACAGTCACAAAAGTGAAGCAAAACATATTCTTAATTCCAAGGATGTGATAATGTACCCAATCCCCTTATTAGGCCACACTTTATTAATCTTGTGTTTCGCGGATTTATTCCAGCTTTGCCACACAAGGTTGGTCCAAATAAGAATACAAATAATCATTATAAGATATTATTGAATTTATTTATCTATAACAAAATCATTCTGCTTTGGATTTGCAGCTGGCCTCTTAATACATTGAATTTACATATAACATTATATACCGTCTTCGATGTAATAAGCGCCCAGGGCGCTCTCAAAATTAGATATAGGGGGCTCTTATTAGAATATTATTTTGAAAGATGAGTTATTTTGAGTTGAAAGATAAAATAAATTTCGTGGTTTATGCTGACAGCCTGAAATGTTTATGTACGACAGATATATTTTTCCAGAATATAATTGCCCATAATTAAGGGTGCATATAACACACGAGTGTGTATTATACGCCAATAAATAAGCCTTGTGTACATTGATCAATCGGAAGGGGTGCTAATTGAGATTGTTCACTAGCCAATATATTAGCAAATATCGCCGTGGGCGCTTATTACGTCGTATACGGTATTGTATAAGGGTCTGTATTACCAGCGTAAGTCAAAAAAAATAATTTAAAATGTATGTTTAACTTATTGCTAAGACTGGCTGCTTTTAAGTAGGGGTGTTGGGCTGGTGAAACGAAAAATAGTTAATGGCCTTATGTGCACTTCAGATCCCCATGGAAAATCCTTACTAGAATTGGTCCACAGCAACATATGCTGGTCATAACAGGCGATTTAAATGGATCAGATGGTCAGGTTCGCTGATTTGATTGACACCATGTCACCGCTGCTCATATTATCACTTGATTATTTATAGATTTATAGATAATTTTTATTTATAGGCTGTCATCATATACCTGGAATATTGCTGAGTGCCACATTTTAAAACAAATACCTAATCTCATCACCCGAACTTAAAGGTATGATGCTTTCAATATTGTCTGTTATCATCAAAACAAGTTCATTACGAACAAAATTACCATAGTTAATGATCTGATGACAAATGTTTACTTGTTACACACAAAAACATACCATGACTGGCTGCCTGACGTCAAGTTGTGCACCAAAGAATGTAATGGAGTAGTCAAGAGTTACCTCCCCTAGGTTGGCCCACCATTTGGCGACACACAACTCTAGAGTCACACCGTCCTGTAAACACAAACACATTACTCCACAGTATTCATTATATAACAACACATGAATCAACATAAATACTGAAATAATGCAGATCTATATGAATGATGTCAGTGTATATAAATATGTCAGACAGATTTTATAATATTAATATAACATATACTTTTGAGTTGAAAAAAATTGCATTGTCGAACATATCACTTAGGCCCAAAGAAATAGAATCTTGTGGCTACGATTTTGTTTCATTTGAAAAATGGTTAGGATCAGTGTTTTCTATTTGAGGCCTGCAACTAACTACAAGTATTTTGGATACCAACTCGACAAAAAAAGAAAAACTCCAACATAAAACAGTGTGAGACAGCAGGGTTTTTTTTCTTTGTTGTTTAACGCTGAACTCAGCAATATTCCAGCTGTATGACAGCGGTCTATAAATAATCGATTCTGTACTAGACAATACAGTGACTGACATCATCGTGACAATGAGCATCGACCCACACATTTGAAACACAATGACATGCATCAACCAAGCCCAGGCCAAAGGCCTCGTCTGTGAGTTTGTTTGTTATCATTTTTAGTTCCATGGTCCTGTGAACCAAGTCGGCAAGCCTGATGACCCAAATCTGTTAGTGGCCTCTTACGACAAGCATAGTCACCTTTTACAGCAAGAATGGGTTGCTGAAGACCTATTCTACCCCGGACCTTCACGGGTTAAGCAAAGTAACACAAATAGGCAGACAACATATACATACAATAAACAGGCATGTTGTTTACATCAGCAGCTACACTGTGATTGAGACCATCACTGACAGGCAGTCTGTGTACACTTACCAACACTGGGAATGCTTGAGTAGTATCTCCTGAGTCACATATTGTTATAAATCTTTCAAACTCGTACTTCTTGTACTGGTGTTGTGGAGAGAGCTGCAGTGTGTGTAGGAGTACTCGGCAGTTCTTCTCTGTGTCTTGAGACTGCACATGGAGAACTGTGGACACAATACAGAACTACTGTACCATTGGTTAAGCCAGTACATGTCTTACCTGTATTTCTTCTTTTATTCTTTCAAATGCATATCTGAGGTCTGCGGGGTTTAACGTGTCTTAAACTGGAGACTCAGACAATGTATGGTACATTTTGTTCTGGTCATTGCTAAGGCCACACTTTTTTAATCTTATGTTTCACGGATTAATTCCACCCTTTCCACACAAGGTCAGTTGAAATAAATATAAAATTTAATGCCAATTATTTGTTTATAAATAAGAAAATCTTTCTGATTTGGATTTGCAGGTGGCCTCTTGAATCACGGATAGTGATGTATACACATGGAACTTATATATAACATTTTATATTGTACAAAAGGCTTATATTACTAGCGGGAGACATAATAAAATTGAATATTTTTATGTTTAATTTATTTCCTAGACCGGGTGCTTCTAAGTAGGGGCGGTGGGCACGTGAAATGAAAAATAAAAAGTGTGTGGCCTAAGGCTATTTCTGACAGTAAGTTCATCCATTTCATATACATATATGAAAATTTGCTTTGAACTGACATGTAAATGGTCATGAACATTCAGAAAATACAAGGATAATTTTAACAAAAGAAACCAAACAAATTCTTCCTTTCTCATGGCCTTCATAAACACCTCAGCAAACTATGGTCTCGATGTAAGGAAAACAATGGCCTTTGACAAACAAAAAGAGTTACTTTACCAAAAATTAAAACACAGTGTTTTGTCAGATTTTGCAGTCTTATTGCACAATGAGTGAGTGAGTGACTTTGGCTTAACTTTGAACAGTATTTCAGTTACAAGGGAGGAAAGTATGAAGGGATGCATGTTATAGACATTTAGACAAGTATGGTGATGACTAAACTAGAAACATGGTGAGGTGAACCAGGATTCAAACCCTTGATCACACATTTCTGGCACACCTAAGGGACGAAACTCTGCCTTAGACAATTGGGCCACCGATGCCCCTTATTGTAGACCGAGAATACTTCAACCACAGGGACATCACTAGAAGTACCCACCTGCGTAAGTTGCTCCTTCGGGCACATGAATGAACCGTCTGTGTATCTGACCTGGACGGAATCTTATGTCCTTGTATGACAGTGAGAAGTTGGTACTGTCTGTCACTCTGTAATGAGAAGGATAAAAATAAAATAAACTCAACAAAAGTGAGTGAGTTGGGCTTAACGCCGCTTTTAACAGTATTCCAGTCATATCACGGCGTGTCAGCTTAATGTGGGAGGAAAAAAGCCCGAAGTGATGCAGGTCTCAGACGTTTACCACCCCGGTGAAACCCACGAGCACAGGTATAGTGCTGACAAACCTAGAAACATAATCGGGGCGAACCGGGATTCGAACCCACAATCATAGGTTTCTGGCGTGCCAAAGGGACGCAACTCTGCAGCGCGAATCGTGGCACTTAGACGACTGGGCCACCCGTGCCCCCAAACACAACAAAATACCGAAGAGCAGATGCACCAAAAAAATTTGAACATTAATCATAAAAAGAAGCAGATTTGATTTGTCAAATCAATTTGTCAAACATTCTTCTTGTTTACCTTGAAGGCACTATGACAGTGATAGGAACCCTGAACAGTGGACCTTTCTGTATATTCTGGACATCATACCCGCACACCTGAGGACAGACAAGTCATATACCTTCAACAAATGCTATTAGAGCATGTAGACAGGATCTCTTTAATCAACAATGTACATTGTTTAAACTGATATGCTGCAACATACACTGAATAATCCTACAAGAACATGACAGTTTAAATACTGGATCTCTCAGGAATTAGACCCTTCACCACCAGGTCTATGTATGGAGTCTGTTTCTTCCAATGAGGAATGATAAGTCAGTGACATAAGCCACTAGTCTGGAGCCAAAGTCTAGTAAATATATTTCTGTCCAGAAAAGCTCATCTAAAAATAATCCACACTAAATTGCACTGAAATAATCTCAGCCCAGCAGAAAAGGTCTTTGGCACAGACTGTGATTGAGTGAATGTTGTTCTACGCCAGGTGAAACCAACTCTTGGGAAAAACACGAAATCTTGTCCTTGTGATAAACACGAAACCCTGATGAGAGGCAATATTCATTTTACTTTCATTATCAATAATGAGGCTTACAAGTCTGAAAAACAGTCTGCACAAAAAGACCACATGCCCTAACTTCTCCTGTCATTATACTATTGAGAGTCATGATTCCAGTAAGAGTCTGGCAGTACCTCTGTAAAGTGATCCCCCTCTGGCAGTCCTCTTGGGTCAACTTTGACGGAGAAAGTCCGGGACACATTCATCAGCTCTAGATGTGCCGGACACTGAACCCAGGATGCCTCGCACACAAGGCTGAACTGGATATTGAACTCGATTTTCTCAGTTTGAGCTGAAAGTATTTTGGATTAGTATCAGTTAATGAGTTGTCTTAAAGCCACTCTGAATAGAATTTGTTATATACCATATTAGACAGAATAAGCACCCAGGGCGCTCTCAAAATTAGAAATAGGGGGCTCTTATTAGAATATTATTTTGGTGAAAAAGCAGACCTGAAAGATCGTAAATTTCGTGGTTTATGCTGACAGCATGAAATGTTTATATACGACAAGATATATTTTTCCAGGATTTAATTGCCCATAATTAAGGGTGCATATAACACACAAGTGCGTATTATACACGAATAAATATGTCTTGTGTACATTGATCAATCGGAAGGCCCTTAGGGGTGCTAATTGAGATTGTTCTCATGCCAATGTATTAGCAAATATTGCTGTGGGCGCTTATTACGTCGAATACAGTTACTGTGTGTCAGCTTAATGAAGGTCTTCTCCCATGTGCAGATGTGTGGCAGTTAAAATATATTCCACTGTCCGACAACTGGGAGGATCACCGACAGAAAGCCCAAAGTGACACAGATCATAGATAATTAACCTATCAGCATGGGTTACAGCTGACATCCCAGGCAACCTCGGGTTGAATGTCAGTTTTGAACCCAAGTGCAGATGCAGGTATGGTTAAGGGATCCACTATACACAATGGTGTGTCCTTGTCCCCTGGGTGGCCTGTGAGGGCGGGGACTTGTATCCTGTGTACAAGTATCAGCTTTGGACAAAGAAGCCATACAGAGACATATGCCATACAAACACAAAACTTATCAATCTAAAAATTCTTCAATTAGTTTCCTATGAATGTGTTCAAAAAACATTTGGTAAGGTAAATCTTGGCAAGTACCACCAACTCACCTAGGAGTGAGTGAGTGTGTATGGTTTTACGCCGCTTTTAGCAATATTCCAGCAATATCACGGCGGGGGACACCAGAAATGGGCTTCACACATTGTACCCATGTCGGGAATCGAACCTGGATCTTCGGCGTGACGAGCGAACGCTTTAACCACTAGGCTACCTGACCGCCCCCAACTCACCCAGGAACTCATCTTTCCAAAAACACACCTCTTCCAAATTTCACAATTTTTGTAAACACTAAATCACGCCATCAACTGTGAACAATTACGGCTGATTTGCGGGGTAGTATTGCTATTGTTACCAATTAATCAAGACAAAGCCTGGCTCAAGCAGGAAGAAAACCAGCAACAGCTTAGACCAAAGTTTATGGCCTCAGTGAGTAAATAGCTTTACTTCCTTCCATTAGTTGGCAAAACTAACAAGCATCACTACTACACCGCCAAGTGGTCAAATGTATTAATTACCGTGTGAAGAAGGAACAGTGTATACAAACCAGCGAAGTGCTGACAATGACAAGAGCCATCAGGAGATGACATATCCCCAAGGTCTGGTGCAATTCAGAAATGATTGGCTACTTATACCATGTATACCCCACTTTTGGTTCATTGCCATTGGATGCCTTCAGTTCAGTGAAGAAAAATATAATGCTCATGTACTACACAAAAATGAACCAGGAGTGTCAGGAGTTGAGCAGTTCTTTGTGTCATGGAGGCTCATTGCTATAGTTTTTAATCTATGTACCTCTAGACACTGCTAGACTTTGACCATTATGTTTATGACCAGGGCCCCGTTCCTCAAAGCAATCTTAGCGCTAAAGGGATCGTAAGTCCCATACTTTAACATGGGCTTACGATCATTGTAGCGCTAAGATCGATTTGAGGAATGAGGCCCAGGGCCCCGTTCCACAAAGTGATCTTAGCGCTGAGTCGATCGTAACTCCCATTCTTTAACACTGACTTACGACAATCGTAGCGCTAAGATCGCATTGTGGAACGGGGCCCAGGGCCTCATGGTGTCAGTACACATGCCAACTATAACCAATTTCAGGGACAAGATATTGGAAGGTGGCCTTTTCTCAGTTATTTGTTATTTCTGTTGTTTTCTCCTCACCAGCTTTTTCCTCGAAATACTTGGGTTCTATGGACACCGACACTTCCGAAGGCTTCTGCAGCTGGGGCACCTCCCGGAGATAGATCCCCCGCTTGCCGCCCTGGCACGTCACCTGGAACTTCATGTTCATCTCCTTCTCTGTGGCGTTCTGGCAGAGGTAGTCGAACGCTTTCTCCACCTGTAGGAAGCAACATCTTATCAGGGATCACTTCTCACTAACTACAGCTCTTCAGCTTATCAAGACATTGAGAACTTTTATTTAACCAAAATCAGATAAAAAAAGGTCATGTTATTGTTGGATGTTGAGTCAGACTTTCCACTTGGCTAAAATATTCCACGTCTTTAGATCCTAATACAAACAGTCTTTAGATACAATGTTAGAACCATGCAAGTTTGTAATATACAGACTTTTTATGATGGCCCCTGGAACTGCTACTCAGCTAGAGTCAACTGTTTATAATATGTCTCAATTTACATGTTCGATGAATAGTTTACTTTCATATCCAATACTCTATACAATAGTGAGTGAGTTGGGTTTAACGCCACATCCAACAGTATTCCAGTTATGTCACAACATGTCAGCTTAATATAACAGGAAAGCCCGAAATGATGCAAGTCTCAGGCATTTACCACTTTCGTGAAACCCACAAGCACGGATATGGTGCTGACAAACCTAGAAATATAATCGACGTGAACCGTGATTCAAACCCACGATCATAACTTGCAGACGTGGCCAAGGGACACAACTCTGTACAGCGAATTTGGCGCCTGGGACAACTGGGCCACCAGTGCCCCTTTCTATAGACTAAACCGCTGGTCAGAGTCCTGCTGTAGCAGCTGAGTAGAGCCCTCACCTGTACCAGACCATAGCCCATGGCAAACACTTCCACGGTGTCCACCTTCTGTGCTGTGTTCTCCAGAGCTCTCCTCACACTGTGTGGGGTGTAGGGGACTCCGTTTGCCTTGAGACCAGACAGTACCAGGGCTGGAACAATACATCAGGACATCCATTGATTGCTACTTTTGATAATCATACATACTGTGAGAAAACTAAAGATGGTAGACCCAGGTCCATACATATACAGAACACTTATATTCAAGGTCTTTTCAACTGCCATTTACAAGGCATTTTTAGTTGGGTTATAATATAAGCCTTAGCCTGTCAATATTTTTTTAAATCCAGCATATTATATATTACTCTTACGGCCGAAAGATGAGTATGAACATTAGTATACCGGTATGCCATTTTGTACAAATTCAAGGCTTTTCAAGCTATTTTGATGATTTTCAAGGCTTTTTTGAGGATAACATGAATAATCAAGGCTTGTCATGCCTGTGTGAACCTGGTATACCTTCAAAACTACCTACTAGTAAGCATGGTCAGTTCAGCTGAGAGGGAGTGTGAGTCAGGTATAATCATGATAATACCACTTGGAAATTTGTTTCAGTTATATCTCAGAGTCGGAGCTTACTGTGGTAGGAAACCCAAAGTGAAGATCATAGTCTTAGAAAGAGTGAGTGAGCGAGTGAGCTGGGGTTAACGCCGCTTTTAACAGTATTCCAGTTATATCTCGGCGTGTCAGCTTAATGTGGGAGGAAAGCCCGAAGTGATGCAGGTCTCAGACGTTTACCCCTTCGGTGAAACCCACGAGCACGGGTATGGTGCTGACAAACCTAGAAACATAATCTGGGCGAATCGGGATTCGAAACCCACAATCATAGGTTTCTGGCGTGCCCAAGGGACGCAACTCTGCACAGCGAATCGCGGCGCCTTAGACGACTGGGCCACCCGTGCCCCCTGTCTTAGAAAGAGAAGCTTTGTAGCTATGGTTACTCAGAGATGCCAAAACCCAAATTGAGGCAACTTGGAATAACTTGGATAAATAGAGTCTTAAATGATTGATTATCAATAAACAAAACAGTTATCAATATAAGCATGATTGACTGTATAGTTTTGATGAAAAAATATCATCTTTTGTGTCACATTTTATCACCAAACTCCTCAAAACCTGCAAACTTTTCTATCACAAGCTCATCAAAGTGGCATATATTTGGTTTTTGGTTGTATATGTGACAATGCCTGTAGCCATGGTAACCAGGTCAATTGATGTTAAAAGAAATTTGGGAGCAAATTTGTAATATGTTTCACTTAATCTGTTAGTTGTATTGGTAGAATTTGGTTCAAGTTACTGACATGTTTCCACCAAAATTTAAATGGTTTGCATCCCATTGCAACCCATGCTTGTAAGAGGATCGGGACCAAAGACCAAATGGACCGGGAGCTCAAGCTCAGAGACTTATTGATTTCGTGCCATCGTACTCGGATAACGTGGATCATTACTCATAATATCAATCACGGGATCATCTTGTCGAGACTCATTACTTACAGTCTGCTGTCAAATAACTGGAATATTGCTGAGTGTGATGTTAAACAACAAACAAACTCTGGTTACCTAACACAATCAGCTCAACAAAGTCCCATGAACATCTGTGTCATAAGTAAAATAGCCATCACCATACAAGTCAGTATTCCTCATCATGATCATCAATGAGTAATTTATCATGTTAACATCCACTGTACCTACAAAGCATCATGTGAAGTCTTACCTATAGCGCCACAAGCATTAGGAGAGCTCATGCTGGTACCATTCATCAGCTGACTGCCGCGGAGGGTCCAGTTCGGCACGGAGGCAATGGCGCCACCAGGAGCACTGATACACACTCCTAGAGCGCCATCATGACTGAAAAAGACACAATAAAACTGAGATGACATATATTCTCAAATGTTAAAACCATGCACTATCATGTCAAGCTTCAGTTATAAAATACATATCCAAAGTTTTATTATAATTCCTTGTAGATTCACAAGTAATTCTTAGTATTATTTTAACCAAATCAAATGCAATTTTTCACGACTGCCTTTTGGGGTTTTATAATAATTTCAAACACTGTATGTGCTAAATATGTTATCAAAATATCCGCTGATCTCAAAAAGCCTGTTCCAAACATTCTTCAAGGCACCATGTGAGTAAACAAGTAACTATTACATATAGTCAAAAGCCTGAGTCTTGAAAAATGAAATCTTGTTTCACATAATCAGCAACGTCACACATTGAACCCCAGGTCCTTGATCTGCCATGAACTCCAAGTGTAAGCATACATACACACAACTCTGGCTTCTGAGTACAAAGACATAATAATCTCCACACCAGACCTGAGAGGTGATCTTCACAGTGTTCAAAAATCAAAATACTGTTCATTGTTGAGAACTCATACAAAAAGTAATCAGCATTTCAAATTTAGCATGAAAGTCCTTGCGATAAGCCTGTTGTTACAAGTTTAGTGGCTTCCAAGAATCAAATACTTGAGCAGTAACCTTGAGGACCCCTTTTAGTTTCAAACACCGGAATAACATATGTGACCCAGGCGAATATGGAACTATCAATAATCTCGAGAAGGTTATTGCAGGACTGCTCACCCCGGGCCCCTGGAAGACCAAGTGTACTGCATCGGAGGTAGTCGTTCCCTGAGAGAGTATTCTGCAGCCATCATGGCAGGAGTCACGTGGGCTCCAACACCTGGACAGAGGGCAAGGAGTGAGATGGATTAACACTCTGAACAGGAGTTCACATCACAGACACGGCTTAACATGTGAGAATGAAGTAGAAACAATTTATGGATAACAACCAGTGTTCCCGTTTACTGTTAATGATCAGTTTTTTACCAGTAAAATTAGGCTTGGTCCCTGTGGACCGGCAAATAAAGTACCTTATAAATCGGTGATATTCACATAAAAATGTTTTTTCTAACTGAAAAGTCTTGCTTGACAAATGTATGAGGACTTATACTGAAACGTCGCCTTTACTGTAATTAAAGAATTTGTTATCCAAAAATTGTATCTACTTTGTCATCTGTCAACTTCTCAGTAATGCCAATGAAACAATTCATGTAACATGTGAGAAAAGCCAACCGTGATGAAGTGTGGACTGGCACCACTGTAGTATTTGTTTTGTTTGTTTGTTGTTTAAGGCGGCACTCAGCAATATTCCAGCTATATGACGAGGGTCTGTAAATAATCGAGTCTGGACCAGACAATCCAGTGGTTGACATCATGAGCATCGATCGACGCAAGCACCAATGTAGTGAAGAGCACCATTGCTGGTATGGTGGTGTCAAACCATGGATCACAATCAGGGCAAATCTGGGATTCAAACTCATGACTGGAATCCTGGCACAACCAAGGGATGCAATTCTGCACGCCTTAAACAACCGGGTCACCAGTGTCCCTTGGTGAAACATGAAATAATACACAACTCAGAGGCATAGAGAGAACTGTGCCATTACAAGCTGAAATACTGCTGATCTGACGTTAACATTTATTTTTTACAACAGACCTCGGCAGTATAAACCTTTTTACATACTAATACATCCCACCCTTAAAAGACAAGGAGAGCTTACCTAGAACCGCTGAAGTTGTCCCGCCTGGGGTTCCCACAGTGGACAATGCTGGGCCATTGTTGCCAGCACTAGCTACAAATATCACACCATGCTTGTTGACTGTATCATTGATTATATCACACACACGCCTGAAAAACAAACCCACATATAAATTAATCACCACAGAAGGATTAAACAATGCAAGGAAAATCATTGGCACATAATAAAAACTGAATGACACACATACCGTATTCGACGTAATAAGCGCCCACAGCGATATTTGCTAATATATTGGCTAGTGAACAATCCCAATTAGCACCCCTTCTGATTGATCAATGTACACAACACTTATTTATTCGCATATAATACGTACTCGTGTGTTATATGCACCCTTAATTACGGGCAATTAAATTCCGAAAAAATGTATCTCTCGTATATAAACATTTCAGGCTGTCAGCATGGTCAGTATAAACCACAAAATTTATCTTTCGACTGGTTTTTTTCACCAAAATAGTATTCTAATAGGATCCCCCTATTTCTAATTTTGAGAGCGCTCTGGGCGCTTATTACGTCGAATACGGTATACATGATAATGTAAAATGAATTATGTTGCGGAAAACATCTTAATGACTAACATGATCAAGCAACTCACCCTGAATTTGACCAGTGAGATGCTTCTCCATAACTATAGTTGATTAAATCACATTTGCGCTCCAATACTTTGATCATCTGAAAATAAACACAAAAAAGGTCTGTTACCAAATGAAAACAGTTGGGAGCACCGTTCTCAGGGTAGCATGTAAGTGCTGGTTTGGCAGGGAGTAACTGTCAGTTAGTGTCGGTCTGTATTATTCTGAATTAACGCCCAATTATTTTCTATTGCATGTGGTATCCTAGAAGATACTCAACTATTTTCTCTGTGCCACTATCCAAGACAGTGTTCTTACTCCTTGTATACAGCACTGATTGGAAGGTTACATAATCTTAAAATATACTATCATACATATTGATAGCAAGACATACACTTAAGAAACAAACAGCGACAGAAACTAATATTTTAGTTCACCAGTCCCCAAATGATAACATATAGCAAAACCCTTAAATATGAAAAACTTCTACTAGTCCTTATGAGATACCTATTAGGCAGTTTGGCAAGGACTATAGGACAAGGGCCAATTCTATCTCTGAAACAGGACCTTGCAACAATGTAAGTAAATGTCTTATCATGCTTATGTTATGTATTGATATTTCGCACTCACAGCTCTGACTAGAGAGGTCCCAGTCTCCATTGAGCCGAGGCGTGTATCTCCTACTTTGATGGAGACGACCTGTGCCCCCGGGGCCAGCCCATTCCGCTCGGGGTTGTCGGGGAAGCAGCCAGCCGAGATGCACGCCACATGGGTGCCGTGAGAACCTAGGGAGAGCAGATATACACACTTGACAAGGGAGCTTCCAAATAACTGATAACTACCCTATGTAGGAATTGCCAATATGAGAAAATAAGCCTGTCATCTCAAGAGTATTAAGTTACATATGTTTAGGGCTTATTTGTATTAAATCACTAACAGCAAACTTACCTGCATTAGTTACAACTTCCAAGACGTTGCCGTCATTGTATATATTCACCGAGAAGTTCATCATGTCTAAAGAGAAAAACAACATTCATCACCATGTAGACCAAAGAGAAGGCACATTGAAACCACTTTGAATATAAAGTCAGAGCTCCAGATAAGCTTTTGGTGTTGTGGGTATATTACCCATGCATTTAAAAATCATTGGGTATCAGTAATTCTATCTGGGTATTCAAATTTCTGTTACCCACTAGTTTTATCTGGAGCTCTGTAAAGTTGATACATTTTAGTTGACAGAAACTGAGGATACATGAGAATGCCGTAAGCAAATTGATTTAATGATAGCTAACATAGGGAATGCTCCGAAAACACAGGAGTGAGTGAGTGAGTGAGTGAGTGAGTGAGTGAGTGAGTGAGTGAGTGAGTGAGTGAGTGAGTGAGTGAGTGAGTGAGTGAGTGAGTGAGTGAGCATGGTCTCATGCCAATTTCAGCCACACTCCAGCAATGTCAAGGCAGGGGGACACCAGATATGGGTTACAACATTAAATGATGATGACGACGACGACAACGATGATGATTCCAGGGGACAGGGGCAATTACTGAGAAAGCTTCCCCATGAGAAAACATAATCCAGGCCTAGACAAACTTTGGCTATCTTGCTTTCATTAACTTCATCTCTGGCAGATAGAAATTGTAAAATATATCTGTATAAAACTCTAAAGAAGCAGCTGAGAATATACAAGGGGAGGTAACTGACCTGCGTTACTAAGTCTGGCACTCTCCAGCTCTTCGTGGTAGTTTGCCAGCAGCTTACAGCTTTCCAGGTCCCCTGCCTCACTGGTGTCGACACACGCCCTGACACACAGAACACACAACTACTGACCACTGACATCATAGTGAATTACATCAGGGTGACATTCACATATCACATGAAGTCATCATGAGTCACAAATATATCTGAAAACCATTGCATTGTCATAATACAAGAATGTTCGTGAGAAAGTGGGGCTTTTACACTGTTTGTACTGTTATTACACTGGTTATTTATCATCCATATCAACTGATCTCTAAAACATCCTTCAGACCGCCTCCATCAGTCCATGGTCTAGTGGTAGAGCGCCCGCCCGGAGAGTGGAAGGTCAGGGCTTCGATCCCCAGCCGTGTCAGATCAAAAGACATTCAAAGATGGTACTTGTTGTTACCCCATCTGGTGCTCAGCTTTAAGTGGCAAAAACAAGGACTGGTGGGCTCAGAGTCAGTATACTGTATCAGAGTGGGGTTTTCATGTTAAAATGCGGCATGGTATCTCAGTGAGCTAGCACTATAAAATCAGTCCGGACTAGTACAAACAGCCACACACACACACATGTGTGCATGCACGTCACTATATAAGTACAATAATCTTGGACGCGACTTTAAACCTCCCCTCCTACCATCCTTCAAAGGCCCCAAGTGAATTAACAAACAGTCTCAAGCTTGCTACTTCCAAAACAAGCCGAAATCCAGTAATACCCTATGTCTCTGTGAATGGCAACTGCAGCCAATACTAGTTGGTACAAACCAGTACACTATTAAGCCTACCTCCATGTACTTCCATCGTAGAAGACAACACAGTCATACACAGGCCCACAGTCGGAGTACTTCTTGTCAAGACTCTGCAGTATATCAGCCTGGGCCTGTAGCTCTTCCTTGATAAGTTTCTCCTCCTATTTATCAAAACGATTTACTGATAAATGTCGTAACAATGAGAGAATGAGTATGGTTCAATGTGTTAAACAGGTCCAAAACAGTAGTGAGGCAGGTTGTAGATATTTAACATTATGTGAGGTTAGGGGTGAGAAACCATGAACACAGCATGCTTGGAGTGCAGTTATCATTAGGCAGACCATTACACCACTGCTGAATTTACGGCCTTTAGTTTTTAAATGAGAGGTGTCATCAAACATCATGTTAAACCATGCTTCTTGTTTGTTTACAAAGTCAATCTAACCATTGTAGATTTTCCTTCTAAAATGGTATGGAACCTTTACACAAAAGTCACTCCTTGACATAGAAACCATGGTCCATCTGAAAATTATGTTTGTTGTTTGTTTGTTGTTTACCGCCACATTCGGCAATATTCCAGCTATGTGATTGCAGTCTGTAAATAATCGAGCCTGGAACAGTGTCATAATACTGTTGATCACCATCAATATGGAACCGTGAATAGGTCTTCAGTAACCCATGCTTGCCGTATACATAAGACAAATAACTATGCTTGTCGTAAGAGGCAATCGGGTGGTCAGGCTTGCTGACTTGGTTGATGCATGTCATCGTATCCCAATTGTAAGGGTCAATGCTCATGATATCAATCACTGGATTGTCTGGTCCAGACTCGATTATTTCCAGACCGCCATCATATAGCTGGAATATTGCAGAGTGCAGTGTTAAACAACCAATAAACAAACAAACCGTCTATAAGATCAGGTTTTGAGACTATAGTACAATTTCTCCTGGTGAGACTATAGTACAATTTCTCCTGGCCTATTAAGCCGAATTTTAGGGCAGTCCTTATGCATGTTGTGTAAGGAGTACCAGTTACTGTAAAAAGGATTGGGCTGGAACAGGTAGAATTAAACATGTTGAATGTCTAGGGAACACACTGGGGTCAAAATTCTGCTACTGACTACTGTGACAACCATCAAAACACTGTCAATGTTTGTCAGTGATGCCTCACTTTGCATTTGTAAAAATCTTTGGTAGAGTTCATGCATACAAACTGTTACACAGAATGGGGAATTCGCTGTAAGTACATACCAAGGACGATCCAGCTTTTGTATCCAAATCCTCCAGTTTCTTGGCAGCAGCAGCCACTGCAACCCTGTGATGAGGGTCCCAGTTCTGTTCCCTCCTCTCCCTGGTCATCCTCTCCTTCAGGCCTTTAGGGAACAGGTCATAGGCATTCTTCACACCGATGTGGTACTTGCTGGACGGGTTCTTCCACGAGAAAGGAATCTGGAGAGAGAGATCAAAACATCATACCACCATTGACAATGGGCAACTCGGTGGTGTCGAACTAGTTTGAATGTATCATCATCTCCTGTAATCATGGTAATGGATAATTTACCACCCAGTCTTAATCATTCTATCATGCTATCATGTACCACAGGATAGCTACTATTTACTAATTAACAGAATGTTACTATGTGCAAAATGTATGTCAGCAAATCTTCAGAGGTTCAAAGAACAGGTACAGATACTAAGACTATGCCTAGAATTTGACATTCTACTAACAAACTTGCAATTTGGAACTATCATGAGTCCATCATGAGTGAGTAGGTGTGACACAGCTTTGAACAGTATTTCAGTTATATCACAGCACCAGCACAACCACCAGCTCATTAACAGGGCCAATCTAGATTTCAGAACCATGATCATAAGTTGCTGGGAACCTATTTGCTTAAGGGACGAATAATTGCAAAGAGAATTGCAGCACCTTACTAAGACATATGACATGCCTCTGAGTTCATCATGAACTTGAACAGCAAAGCCATTCTTACGTTGTCCCACGAATTGAAAGTTGACTTGTATACAGTTATACAATATACACTGCCTTATCCATGTTATCTGTGATAACCATGAAGAACAACAAGAAATATCTTGTTCTCAGGCAATGAATATAGTCCACATTAGTATGTCTAAAATCCGGCCTGAAAGTTGCTTACCTTGAGTGTTCTGCCCGTGAGGCCAGTGATCTCCCCAGCCACTGCCTCCACCACTTGAGAAGTGTCCACATCACCCGACCCTGTAGCATCTACTATGTCAATGATCTTGGGACGACCATCACTGGTCACCTGAAAATATAACATGACAGTCATACTTCACAAGTCTATAAAGTGTGAACAGTAATGCTGAATGACAAACAGAGCCACAAGCTGAGGACAATCGCAATACATTGATAGTTGATAGTGCCCAAACTCTACATCTAAACATTTTCAGTGGTAAACTTCCCTTTGGTAACCAAACTGTCAAATGATATTGCTATGATTACAAATATGTATTTCTTAGTCGTGCTATGCTTAGGAATAAATGCATGAGTATGCCACAATTCAAAACTTCTAAACCTACTTAACTAATACTGGTTGTCTTTTAAACAAGAAATGTGACAATTGTTCATTTGGAGTAGCATTATGATGAGAAATCATGGTAATCATCTTGAAAGATTTCTGGTAATTTATTTCAATTTCAACGTTTAATAAATAACATGATCTAATTAACAATTAGTCACAAGTAGTTTACTTAACATGCTTAAAACATGCAAAATCTAATTTTTTTTGAAGAATTGTTAATTATGTTTAACAGACATTTAAACATGTTAAACATTTTACAACATGTACATATTTTTCAATTAATGTTCATCATGTTCAGTCTGACTGATTAATATCATTAAAGTTACGATATCTTACTGATCATGCTTATAAATATCATGCTATAAATATTTAGATATTATCATTTATCATGTTTATGATATTGATAAGCATGATAAACATAAGCTCACTAATCATGATGACATGTTATCGCATATCATATCCTGGTGGTGTCTGTATGCAAATACAGCTTGATCATGATGGCAGGTGAAGGGGACAGTGTGTGTGTACGTGTGTGTGTGACTGACTTAATTTGACGCTGCTTTTAGCACTATTCCAGCAATATCACAGCGGGGGACACCAGAAATACGGCTTCACACATGCAGGGAATTGAACCCAGGTCTTCGGCGTGACGAGCGAACACTTTAACCACTGGGCTTCCCGACCGCCCTGTGTGTGTGAAGAGAAAAGTACAGGGAGTACATCATGACTATAGGAACAAATACAAGCTGGGAAAGGCTGAAAACTACACAGCCAAGGTGAGGTGAGGTGAGGTGAGGTGAAATTGGGTTTAACGTCGCGTCCAAGATTATTGCACTTATATAGCGACGTGCATGCACGTGTATGTGTGTGTGTGTGGCTGCTTGTACTAGTCCGGACTGATGCCGATTTATAGTGCTAGCTCACTGAGATACCATGCCGCAGTTTAACATGAATCGCCCACTCAGACACAGTATACTGACTCCGAGCCGACCAGTCCTTGTTTTAGCCCCTTAATGCCGAGCGCCAGACAGGGTAACGACAAGTACAATCTTTTAACGTCTTTTTGTATGACGCGGCCCAGGATCGAACCCTGGACCTTCCGCTCTCCGGGCTGACGCTCTACCACAAGACCACGGAGGCGGTCCTACACAGCCAAGAGTGTAGGGGGAAATACATCATACAAATATATGGTTGAAGGAGTGGGTGGTTTCAATGCAATGCAAAGATTTACCCAGCTGCTTTGTGAACTTAGGAATCATGGTCATGAGGGAAAATAACAAGAGTGATCAGCATGATCAGAGAAGATATACCCCCAGTTCTGGGCAACCCCACTTTTGGTTCATTGCCATTGGAAACCTTCAATTCAGTGAAGAAAGAAATAATGTTGAGTATATTAACACCCAAAAGATCAAAAGGTACCAGTTCACCACTTGACTGATCTGTGCAGCAAGTTTCAACGAGAAAGATTCAACAGTTTAGGAGTGCTGCTCCGGAAGCGGAAAATTGTGGTCGGAGAGACAGACAGACAGGCTGATTGCTATATTCCCCCGTTCTGAAAAAACTCCATGTACCAGGAGTAGATACATTGTGAAAGAAGACTCAAGTCGCTGGTAAACTCAAACGATGTTTACTTGTTCAGATCAAAACAATAACTGACAACACAGCTGTATTACTATGATGACGTCATCACAACACTCACACAACCATTCCAAGCTACCTTTACATTGTGTTCTATCTATAGAAATACTTCCGGGTTTAGAGTTACCTACCTTACATCAAATGTTTCATTATCATGGTTAACCTTTTAGTACACAGTCTACCAACATGGCCAATAAGTGGGCCTTATTACTCATCATCAATAACAATCATGGTTACATCTCATAAACACGAAACTTTTTTCCGAGTCATCAAAGATGACCTAGCTTTACAGTAGAAATTCAGTTCAACATGACAGTGACCATCTAACACGCTGTATACTTTAATTTCTCTTTTGTTACAGCAAGGTTCTTTTGAGCTGAGTTGGGTTTAACTTGAACACACTGTTAAACCATGTACCACCATGACCACAGTTATTATTGCATGACACGCTCAGTGGTGGTAGAACAGCATGTGATTTTCCATTAATAAGGCTGCACTGTGCACATCATCTTCCCAAGGTAAGGGAGTTAACTGACTGTAAAAGTCCAGTTTCCAAACTTGCCAAACTAGGCTGAAATTTTGTGGCTTAATCGTAACGCAAAATATTATAGTAATGTTGAAGTGTACATGTCACAGTCACAGTCACTGCATCGGGTAATATTAAACAAGAAAACAGTGTTATCACTATCCCAGGGTTAGAAACTAACAGTTTTTGTCCACTAGTCCTTATAATGATAACATAGAGCAAAACCCCTAAAATGGGCCAATTTCTACTAGTCCTTAGGATACCTTTACTACTGGGCAGTTTGGTAAGGACTACAGGACTAGTGCCCATTTCTAACGCTGCTATCCCCCGGCATGGGGCACATTCGAATTTGGTTTATTCATATAGCAGTGAATATCATGGAAGGTAATCACTGGGCTGGCTTTATGTCATGAGAAAATCTGATGCTACTTTCCCCATCGCAGACACTATGCACCAAATAGAAAAAAATTACAAGGATCAAGGGCTTTAACTGTGTAGATCTCTATGCACAAAATCTAAAAACATGTAAAAAATCATCTACGGAACCAATTTTCGAACTCAGTCTTCATAAGTATCTCTTAGATAAACATGCAAACTTTCATTCATATAACTTTAGAAGTTTCTTTAGTAGTTGAAAAGCACTTAGCAGGGGCCATAACTCTTTAAAGAATGAATTTAAGACATCCATTTTCAAACTCATTGAAGATCACGACCAGTAAGATCAGTGTGTAAAATTTCATTTCTCAAATTAAATAGTTTTTGAGAAAATATGTCCCAATTGACATGACGGATGAACTCTGTTCCTATATCCCCTGTGCCACTTTGTAGAAAGCCTAATGTGATGCAAGTCATAGATCACTTCAGTAAAACCCATGAGCATGGATTTTGATCTAGCGGACAGACCAAATACCATAATTTAAATTGTGATAATGAGAGCTAATCTGATTCAAACCCAAGGGCAGTGAACTCTTGCATGCCATGGGGCTCAATACAGCGACTTGTGGCAACTTACTCTGTTGACCTACAACTACATGTGCCTATCAAAGTGAGAAAAGTCACAAAGACACACCACCTGTGTCCTGACAAATCAAATGTACTGTGACATTCATGAACATCATCTTCAAACCTCAAGTGAAAATACACTTACACGAACATGATGTTATTATTTAAACAGGGGTGAAACGACACAGCAAGGTCACGATATGATACAAATCATGACACATGCATCATGATACGATACCCATTACAGAATGCATATTTACGTGAACTCGTTTGGAAACCTTTTAACTATACAAATTCCAGAGCAGGAAAAACTATGCTGTAGGCACATGTTCAAATCAGCTATTTTCAGTCATAAACTTGAAGCACTAGTTACAACACATTTTGCAATATTGGACTGACAAAAAATGCTGGGTGGTCATTAAACGAGTAGCAAGTAATCTATTTTGGCAAGTGTGTCGTCTTGTATCAATACAGAGAAAAACGCATCATGTATCGAATAGTCACATGAAAACTCACGATGCACTGATGTATCACCTCACCCCTAGTTGCCAAGGACAGCTTCACAAATCATCAGGATGGGTTGTGGTAATTTTGTAACTACACCGAGTTTGTAACCCTCAAATTATGAAAATTTGTAACCCAAATCCCAAGCAATTTTGTAACCCTGTTACAATTACAAATAAAATATTAATTCAGATTTAGATCCAACATGACCAAAACCCACGCACTAATTGGAAGAGTCCATCCATGTAAATAGGGGTAATATTTTATTTGAACACACAATAAGAATATTATTAGGAGTTTATCTGTTGACTGATGCTAACGGCTAATCTTTAAGAATACATCGGGTCAATTAAGAATTACTCAATCCCCAAACCAGTTGATTAAGATGAGGGTGTCACATCTAAACATGCTAAATGAGTTGTGTAAATTAACAATAATCCCAGGTGTCACCTCTATTGGAGTTGTTTAACTAATGAACAATAATACCAGATCAAGGTACTAGTACAGGGATAGACATGCATATTTTTTTCAAGTGTGCTACAGGGAACTCATAAAGATGTCTCAGTGTGCCCTTTGGAATGTTAGTGTGGCAACTAAAAAACTTTTGATCCATCTGCAAACATATGACTAAGGCTAGATAATAAGCAGTCATATTTTAGAAAAATTGCTTCCTTCCTCTTCATTGAGATTGATAATACCCAAGGTTATGTTGTGCATCATACTGTGCATTAAGAATGTTAACGTGTTCATAATGTTCCATGTGTTTGTCATGCTTACTTGTGCGAAAATACATTATTCACTGGCTTCATTTAACAACCATTGTCACAAGGTACTGTTGTTTAAAAAACATTATTGATAAGAGTGCCTTTCGGGCATTGGGAACACAATGCTATTGCGATTTTAAGCATGTCATTGCTACTAAAATACAAAGAATTTCAAAACCTGTAGTAAAAGAAATGATAATGTTTGTTTGTTTGTTGTTTAACATGTTTAACACTGCACTCAGCAATATTCCAGCTATATGACGGCGGTCTGTAAAATAATAATGTCTGGACCAGACAATCCAGTGATTGACATCATGAGCATTTGGGATCGATGACATGTATCAACCAAGTCAGTGAGCCTGACCACCCGATCCTGTTAGTCGCCTTTTACGACAAGCATAGTTGCCTTTTACGGCAAGTATGGGTTGCTGAAGACCCATTCTACCCCGGAATCTTCATGGGTCAAAATAAGCGTTTACGCCAAATTGAACATTCAATTGCTTTGCACCATGGTTTTATGCATTGTGTGCAAATTTGAAGATCATCAGAGTCTTCAATGTGATGAATGCATGGTAACACAGGGTGGGTATCAGTGTTCCCGCTGACTTTTGAAACTGCCAATCCTTGTGGACCGGCTACTCTAATAATTACCAGTCTCCCCTAATTTTTGTCAGTCCCAACTTTCAACAATTAAAACAAGAGTGCTCTCTCTGAGAGCACATTATCCCCCGCATGAATTTTTTTAACGAGTCAAATGAAGCTCCGTAAAACAGGGGCAGTAACTCTGTCAAAATTAGTCGAAATGAAACAGGACTGTGATATACGTATCATCAACATGTCGACATCTTGTGTGTAGAGTGTCAGGGATATTCTCTGGAAAGTGTAGGAGGAGTTGATTTCACAAGCTTAGTACCCTCTCTCACAATAAGGCAAATGAAGCTCCGTAAAACAGGGGCAGTAACTCTGTCAAAATTAGTCGAAACGAAATGGGGCTGCGATATGCGTATCATCAACATGTCAACATCTTGTGTGTAGAGTGTCAGGGATATTCTCTGGAAACTGTAGGAGGAGTTGATTTCACAAGCTTAGTACCCTCTCTCACAATAAGACAAATGAAGCTGCGTAAAAGGGGCAGTAACTCTGTCAAAATTAGTCGAAACAAAACGGGACTGCGATAGGCGTATCATCAACATGTCGACATCTTGTGTGTAGAGTGTCAGGGATATTCTCTGGAAACTGTAGGAGGAGTTGATTTCACAAGCTTAGTACCCTCTGTGGGACGGACGGACGGACTGCGCCACGACATAATCCCCCTTCGGCCATTTCTGGCCCGGTGGGGGATAAAAACATTAAAATTATTAGGTTTTAATTCTTTCAACATCATGTTCAGTGCAAGATGTCATCTCTGACGTAACTTAGTTACCGTATTCAACGTAATAAGCGCTCAGCTCTAATAAGCGCCCATGGTGAGATTTGCTAATATATTGGCCAGTGAACAATCTCAATTAGCACCCCTTCCGATTGATCAATGTACACAAGACTTATTTATTTGTGTATAATATGCATTCGTGTGTTATATGCACCCTTAATCATGGGCAATTAAATCCTGGAAAAATATATCTGTTATATATAAACATTTCAGACTGTCAGCATGAACCACGAAATTTACGATCTTTCAACTCTAATAAGAGCTCCCTATTTCTAATTTTGAGAGCGCCCTGGGCACTTATTACGTCGAATACGGTAGATCCATATGTCATTCACACAAACTTCAGCAACAATTTTCTATTTTTTGTTTTAAAAATTTCAAGACGAAGTTGCTACAATGGGATATTTAACCTAGAATAGACAAGAGAAAACCCTGATGGTTAAAAGACAAGCTGACTTTGTTTCGAAAAAATGTACTTATATGAATATCATCGATGTTTTGTTCAACCACAAAGAAGTATAAGGTACTTTATTTGCCGGTCCACAGTGACTGGCAGTCATATGAATTACTGGTCCAAGCCTAATTTTACCGGTAAAAAACTGGTTTTGCATTGGGACAAAAAAACATCAAAACTCATTAAGGCGTGTATAATGCGCACCCCCTTCTATACAGCTGTGTTTTTTTTGGGAAAAAAGTGCACACTATACTCAAGAGAATACGGTAGACATAATATTAGGTTGCATTTTTTGGAACACCTTTAGAGTACAGTACCACAACTCCCCATGAGGATGATCTCTGCTGAAGATCACATGTACATGTATCAAAGACAAACAGGTCATTTTGTTAGAATCCGTTGGATGCGAACTCTTGACCTTCGATACCGAAGGTGAGGGATGAGCCGATATGTGTTTAATGTTATACACTTGCCAAATGCCTTTGCTGCGCAGGAGCGAGCATCCTGGCTCCAAAAATGGCTGCATATTCATTGACTGAGTGAGCATTATGTTGTACCAGCATCTTGTTTTCTTCCATTTATGAACTTAAGTTCATACCTTAATGTATCAGATTGCTTCTGAATTAAAAACTTAGAATTATACAATATATTGTGATAAGTATGGCAATATGTCCTTGTGCATTGAAAAATATTGTGTTACACTTTAAACCCCCAATACCCATCCCTAGTTTCCTGTAGCCCAAACATGAAACTACTTCATCCTGCTAACTCAACGTTTCTATTAGATCATGTAGATTGGTTGGTTGGTTGGTTGTTTAACGCCACACTCAGCAATATTTCAACTATATGACAGAGGTCTGTAAAAAATTGAGTCTGGACCAGACAATCCAGTGATTGACATCATGAGCATCGATCCACTTAATTGGGAAACAATGACATGCATCAACAAAGCCTGATCCCGTTGGTCGCCTCTTAAGACAAGCATATCGTTTCTATTAGAAGAGTAATGCAACTTAAAATGTGAAAACAAGAATACCATGACAAGTGCATTTAGGTGCACGCTTTGTGTCTTCGCCTCCAATGATTGAAAATGCACAGCTCATAAAGCCTTGTATCCATCCTTGTCAATACACCTCGTCCCAAAAGATAGTCATGTCTGACGCCTGGAGCCATTTACAGTTTGCACCATATGGGCTCATTCCTCACCACTCTGTATCTTGTAGATTACGGAATTGGACAAGTGTGCCAAATGACATCAGGATGGCTCGTATGTGTCCGTAGACTATAGTCACGAGACACCATGCCTACCCGTAACCTTCTTAAGCGTCCGTCATCAATACGACCCTTTCAGTTCTGTAACGTCTCAGGCATGATAGGTAAATTTGCACTTAGCTTGAGAGTGTGAACGTAGCTGAGTCTGTTAGCTGTCGAGCTAACAATCTGAAGGTCGCATGTTCGCGTCAGACAGATTCCCACAAAAACTGGTTGTCTGTCTTAATAGGGACATGTGACCTACGGCACAGATCATCCTTACGAGAAGCTGTGGTGCTGTATTCTAAAGGTGCTCCCAATTATCAGAGATTAAGATTTCCCATCATCCAGACAATGGAATGAATGATTACACGGTGATAAAAAAACAATACACAAAATCTCAGCATCCAGGCCTCAAATTTTAAACTTTTACCAAGTAGCCATATGGCTACAAGTATTTTTTTCTAGGTAGCCAGTGGCAAAATCAAGAAGTCAATCCAATATTGGAGGTAGTCAAAAGCATTTGAAATTATCTTTTTAAAATAACTAATATATGTACAAGTCATAGCACTAGTCTTGGAACTGTATATTTGTGGAAACTGTACATGCTGTACTTGAGTTTTGTTATTTGTGACTCAAACAATGATGCAATTTATATTACTAGATTATACAGGTATATCCCTGCTTATCAATTAAATTATCAACTAAATAAAATACTAATTACATTACTATTTATGCATTTTGGTTCATTGTTGACTTTAGGAGGAATTATTTGCAAGTACAATCAGTAGCAGACATGATTATTTTTGTGTCTTCATACGTTTAGCAATAGAATTTAGTCGCCACAAGATATTTTTGAAGGTAGTCATTTGGCTACCTCTGAATTATAGACAGTAGACAAATTGAAATTTAGGTAGCATTGGCCACCGTTTTAGTCGTAACTTTGAGGCCTGGCGTCTGTTTTTTCCTGTATCCCTACAATCGGAATGGAATGGTCCACTATCGTCAACTATTTGATTGACAATTTTATATTCTTGTCTTTTTAATGAATTGTAAGAAATATGAAATAGGGTTATGAAGTTTCTTATTTTAAGGGTCACTAAAAATACCAGGGTTACAAAGTTACACTCATTTGGGTTACAAAATTACATACACCCTTCATAACCATGATAACAGTGGTTGTGAAATTAGCTAATTAACCTTTAAATTAATTATTGACAAATATCTTTCTCAATGAAAATGGCAGCCTGGCCCTATTTAGGTGATCCTGGTGATAATTTCAAATGCATCCTGGCTAATATGGCAGCTGTTATTGTTATCAATAGTGTTTATCATTTCTTGTTTACCCTTGTAGCTTGAGGGATTGCCATAGTGATAACTGTTCATAATTACATAATAGCTTGTGTAAGCATCTGAGTGTCAACAAATTGGAACAAGTCCAACAGCACACATTCTCCCTGATCATCAAAGTGTGACTGATGAGGTCATGAACTGTTAGAGGCCCTGGTTAGTGGTAATTTATCATGTTTGTGTCCACAATATTAGCAGGTCATCATATGCCAGATGCTTGATATATACTGTCACGATTTGATCGAATGTTTGCATATTTCCATAATAAATATAATCAGAGAAATCAAGGTAATATCCGCATCGATTATTTGTAGAGCGAAGACTAGCTCAAACACTGTAGAATGAAGAAACATCAAGAAAAGATTTAGTCTTTAGCTGCAAATGTAACCGATTTTGGCAGAGCACGGCTATCTCAATTGAATGATTTCGTAACAACATTAAGTTTGTTGTAGTCACCTACTAAATGTGTTGATAATAAACAAAAATTCTACTGAGTGCGTGTCAGACTGCTGAATCATGACTGGAAGGCTCGGAACAAAATCTCAACTAACAGTACCTGTAATCCAGGAGCTCCGGGATCGACTCCTGTATCAAGGATGGCGATGACAACACCCTTTCCATCGTAGTTAGGATACTTTGATAAATACACACACGCTCCAGTCTCTTTCTTTGGTAAAATACCGTCAACGGGAAATTCAGCGTCTATAGAGGTCGCCATGTTGGCTAGAATGAAGTCTCGTAATGTATCGCGATAAATGACGTGATTAGTTTACAATAGTATATTCCACGAAACAGATTGTATAACGAACATGAAAACACAAGCGCCATTCGACCAGCATATGTACATACGAACAATTTGTAGTTTTTGTTAACGCCTCACACAGCAAAATTCCAGTTATATGAAAGCGACCTGTTTGGACCAGACAGACCAATGATTAAAGCCGTCTGGGGGACGATGTAATTGAATAATCCAAGTGAGCACCCGACGAAGATGGGATGCCATAGGCTATAGGTTGCAAAGTAAGTCATCAATCCTTATTTGTTCAAAACGGACACGTCTAGGTACAACGTAACCCATTTTTCACATGAACTGTTATGTAGGGGGGTCTGGTCATTTATAATGGGGTGGGTGGGTGTGTGGGGTGGGGGGGGTGGGGGGGTGTGGGGGGGGAGCGCTGCATGGGATTGGTCTTTATGGTATTTTGCCGACACACACAACCCACTTTATGTAACACATATTTGGGGATCCCATTAAACTGTAGACGACTTGGTGGATCGGGTGGTCAGGCTCGGTGACTTGGATCCAATCAAACTATAGACGACTTGGTGGATCGGGTGGTCAGGCTCGGTGACTTGCTTCACAGCAAACTCTAGACGACTTGGTGGATTGGGTGGCCAGGCTCGGTGACTTGCTTCACAGCAAACTCTAGACGACTTGGTGGATCGGGTGGCCAGGCTCGGTGACTTGCTTCCCAACAAACTCTAGAAGACTTGGTGGATCGGGTGGCCAGGCTCGGTGACTTGCTTCCCAACAATTTCTAGAAGACTTGGTGGATCGGGTGGCCAGGCTCGGTGACTTGCTTCACAACAAACTCTAGCAGACTTGGTGGATCGGGTGGCCAGGCTCGGTGACTTGCTTCACAACAAACTCTATAGAAGACTTGGTGGATCGGGTGGCCAGGCTCGGTGACTTGCTTCCCAACAAACTCTAGAAGACTTGGTGGATCGGGTGGCCAGGCTCGGTGACTTGCTTCACAACAAACTCTACAGAAGACTTGGTAGGTAGGGTGGCCAGGCTCGGTGACTTGCTTCACAACAAACTCTACAGAAGACTTGGTAGGTAGGGTGGCCAGGCTCAGTGATTTGCTTCACAACAAACTCTAGAAGACTTGGTGGATCGGGTGGCCAGGCTCGGTGACTTGCTTCACAGCAAACTCTAGAAGACTTGGTGGATCGGGTGGCCAGGCTCAGTGATTTGCTTCACAACAAACTCTAGAAGACTTGGTGGATCGGGTGGCCAGGCTCGGTGACTTGCTTCACAGCAAACTCTAGAAGACTTGGTGGATCGCGTGGCCAGGCTCGGTGACTTGCTTCCCAACAAACTCTAGCAGACTTGGTGGATCGGGTGGCCAGGCTCGGTGACTTGCTTCACAGCAAACTCTATAGAAGACTTGGTGGATCGGGTGGCCAGGCTCGGTGACTTGCTTCCCAACAAACTCTAGAAGACTTGGTGGATCGGGTGGCCAGGCTCGGTGACTTGCTTCCCAACAAACTCTATAGACGACTTGGTGGATCGGGTGGCCAGGCTTGGTGACTTGCTTCACAACAAACTCTATAGAAGACTTGGTGGATCGGGTGGCCAGGCTCGGTGACTTGCTTTCCAACAAACTCTAGAAGACTTGGTGGATCGGGTGGCCAGGCTCGGTGACTTGCTTCACAACAAACTCTAGAAGACTTGGTGGATCGGGTGGCCAGGCTCGGTGACTTGCTTTCCAACAAACTCTAGAAGACTTGGTGGATCGGGTGGCCAGGCTCGGTGACTTGCTTCACAACAAACTCTTTATAGAAGACTTGGTGGGTAGGGTGGCCAGGCTCGGTGACTTGCTTCACAACAAACTCTAGAAGACTTGGTGGATCGGGTGGCCAGGCTCGGTGACTTGCTTCACAGCAAACTCTAGAAGACTTGGTGGATCGGGTGGCCAGGCTCGGTGACTTGCTTCACAACAAACTCTAGAAGACTTGGTGGATCGGGTGGCCATGCTCGGTGACTTGCTTCCCAACAAACTCTAGAAGACTTGGTGGATCGGGTGGCCAGGCTCGGTGACTTGCTTCCCAACAATTTCTAGAAGACTTGGTGGATCGGGTGGCCAGGCTGGGTGACTTGCTTCCCAGCAAACTCTAGAAGACTTGGTGGATCGGGTGGCCAGGCTGGGTGACTTGCTTCCCAGCAAACTCTAGAAGACTTGGTGGATCGGGTGGCCAGGCTCGGTGACTTGCTTCACAACAAACTCTATAGAAGACTTGGTGGATCGGGTGGCCAGGCTCGGTGACTTGCTTCACAGCAAACTCTATAGAAGACTTGGTGGATCGGGTGGCCAGGCTCGGTGACTTGCTTCACAACAAACTCTATAGAAGACTTGGTGGATCGGGTGGCCAGGCTCGGTGACTTGCTTCACAACAAACTCTTTATAGAAGACTTGGTGGATCGGGTGGCCAGGCTCGGTGACTTGCTTTCCAACAAACTCTATAAAAGACTTGGTAGGTAGGGTAGCCAGGCTCGGTGACTTGCTTTCCAACAAACTCTATAAAAGACTTGGTAGGTAGGGTAGCCAGGCTCGGTGACTTGCTTCACAACAAACTTTATAGAAGACTTGGTGGGTAGGATGGCCAGGCTCGGTGACTTGCTTCACAACAAACTTTATAGAAGACTTGGTGGGTAGGATGGCCAGGCTCGGTGACTTGCTTCACAACAAACTCTTTATAGAAGACTTGGTGGATCGGGTGGCCAGGCTCGGTGACTTGCTTCACAACAAACTTTATAGAAGACTTGGTGGGTAGGGTGGCCAGGCTCGGTGACTTGCTTCACAACAAACTCTATAGAAGACTTGGTGGATCGGGTGGCCAGGCTCGGTGACTTGCTTCACAACAAACTCTTTATAGAAGACTTGGTGGATCGGGTGGCCAGGCTCGGTGACCTGCTTTCCAACAAACTCTATAAAAGACTTGGTAGGTAGGGTAGCCAGGCTCGGTGACTTGCTTCACAGCAAACTCTATAGAAGACTTGGTGGATCGGGTGGCCAGGCTCGGTGACTTGCTTCACAACAAACTCTATAGAAGACTTGGTGGGTCGGGTGGCCAGGCTCGGTGACTTGCTTCACAACAAACTCTTTATAGAAGACTCTGTGGATCGGGTGGCCAGGCTCGGTGACTTGCTTTCCAACAAACTCTATAGAAGACTTGGTGGATCGGGTGGCCAGGCTCGGTGACTTGCTTCACAACAAACTCTATAGAAGACTTGGTAGGTAGGGTGGCCAGGCTCGGTGACTTGCTTCACAGCAAACTCTATAGAAGACTTGGTGGATCGGGTTGCCAGGCTCGGTGACTTGCTTCACAACAAACTCTATAGAAGACTTGGTGGATCGGGTGGCCAGGCTCGGTGACTTGCTTCACAACAAACTCTATAGAAGACTTGGTAGGTAGGGTGGCCAGGCTCGGTGACTTGCTTCACAACAAACTCTATAGAAGACTTGGTGGGTAGGGTGGCCAGGCTCGGTGACTTGCTTCACAACAAACTCTATAGAAGACTTGGTGGATCGGGTGGCCAGGCTCGGTGACTTGCTTCACAACAAACTCTTTATAGAAGACTTGGTGGATCGGGTGGCCAGGCTCGGTGACTTGCTTTCCAACAAACTCTATAAAAGACTTGGTCGGTAGGGTGGCCAGGCTCGGTTACTTGCTTCACAGCAAACTCTATAGAAGACTTGGTGGATCGGGTGGCCAGGCTCGGTGACTTGCTTCCCAGCAAACTCTACAGAAGACTTGGTGGATCGGGTGGCCAGGCTCGGTGACTTGCTTCACAACAAACTTTATAGAAGACTTGGTGGGTAGGATGGCCAGGCTCGGTGACTTGCTTCACAACAAACTCTTTATAGAAGACTTGGTGGATCGGGTGGCCAGGCTCGGTGACTTGCTTCACAACAAACTTTATAGAAGACTTGGTGGGTAGGGTGGCCAGGCTCGGTGACTTGCTTCACAACAAACTCTATAGAAGACTTGGTGGATCGGGTGGCCAGGCTCGGTGACTTGCTTCACAACAAACTCTTTATAGAAGACTTGGTGGATCGGGTGGCCAGGCTCGGTGACCTGCTTTCCAACAAACTCTATAAAAGACTTGGTAGGTAGGGTAGCCAGGCTCGGTGACTTGCTTCACAGCAAACTCTATAGAAGACTTGGTGGATCGGGTGGCCAGGCTCGGTGACTTGCTTCACAACAAACTCTATAGAAGACTTGGTGGGTCGGGTGGCCAGGCTCGGTGACTTGCTTCACAACAAACTCTTTATAGAAGACTCTGTGGATCGGGTGGCCAGGCTCGGTGACTTGCTTTCCAACAAACTCTATAGAAGACTTGGTGGATCGGGTGGCCAGGCTCGGTGACTTGCTTCACAACAAACTCTATAGAAGACTTGGTAGGTAGGGTGGCCAGGCTCGGTGACTTGCTTCACAGCAAACTCTATAGAAGACTTGGTGGATCGGGTTGCCAGGCTCGGTGACTTGCTTCACAACAAACTCTATAGAAGACTTGGTGGATCGGGTGGCCAGGCTCGGTGACTTGCTTCACAACAAACTCTATAGAAGACTTGGTAGGTAGGGTGGCCAGGCTCGGTGACTTGCTTCACAACAAACTCTATAGAAGACTTGGTGGGTAGGGTGGCCAGGCTCGGTGACTTGCTTCACAACAAACTCTATAGAAGACTTGGTGGATCGGGTGGCCAGGCTCGGTGACTTGCTTCACAACAAACTCTTTATAGAAGACTTGGTGGATCGGGTGGCCAGGCTCGGTGACTTGCTTTCCAACAAACTCTATAAAAGACTTGGTCGGTAGGGTGGCCAGGCTCGGTTACTTGCTTCACAGCAAACTCTATAGAAGACTTGGTGGATCGGGTGGCCAGGCTCGGTGACTTGCTTCCCAGCAAACTCTACAGAAGACTTGGTGGATCGGGTGGCCAGGCTCGGTGACTTGCTTCACAGCAAACTCTACAGAAGACTTGGTAGGTAGGGTGGTCAGGCTCGGTGACTTGCTTCACAACAAACTCTACAGAAGACTTGGTGGGTAGGGTGGCCCAGTCGTCTAAGGCACCGCGATTCGCTGTGCAGAGTTGCGTCCCTTGGGCACGCCAGAAACCATGATTGTGGGTTCGAATTCCGGTTCGCCCCGGTTTGTCAGCACCATACCCGTGCTTGTGGGTTTCACCGAAGTGGTAAACGTCTGAGACCTGCATCACTTCGGGCTTTCCTCCCACATTAAGCTGAAACGCTTATAAAACTTACATTATTATAATAATATTATTGCCTTCGTTAAATGTTAATAATTACGAAAAAAACACACTCAGCTAATAATAAAATAATTTGTAATATTCTCCTTATGACGGTATAACCATTCTGAGGTTTGGGAAATGACATTCAAAGAGGTATATATCATATCTTGACTCATTGCCTATATTATCAATATATAGTAATACATAATTGTTTGAAGTTTCCTGCCTTTACACATCCTCTCAACATCTGCATACAGTGAAGCCTCGTTTGACTGGACTTCGTTACTCCAGAAACCCTGCTTCCAGACGATTACTAATGGGGATGTTCAGTATAACATTCCTTTCGTTACTCCAGACACTCGTTAATCGGGACCTCCGATTACCGAGGTTTCACTGTATATAGGGTCACACTGATATCTGTAATGCACATGCACAAACAAACAAACACAAACGATAAGACATAAAACATAGTGGAATTATTTATTTAAATTGCCATTATTGGAGACTAACTGTACTTATGGCTAATATTTACGTCATGACTTTTCGTTACGATGGGGAGAAAATAACGGTAGATGGTCTTGAGCCTTTGTCCAAGGACAGCTTTGTGTTTTACAACGATGACTACTATTATCAGTGCAGTCGTTGCAAGACATGTCTGCCGGTCAAATGCAAATATATATTGTTTTTTCTACACATATATTTCTTTATCGCCTGACTGTTGTATGTTTTTTTATTTTTTTTATTTTTTTTATTTTTAGGATTAATTCAAAATCTTCAAAAGTAACAAAACCATTGCCAAGAAACAGTTCGCCCACCTGCTGACAGTGCTCATTCACAATGAGCTGAATGCGGTCACTCAAGAAAATATATACAGTGTAGCTATTAATTTGTTGTGTAATGCTTAGAGGATAATACCATCTCAATCTTCTATTCTTCAGATCTCATTGTTGTGGTACCCGTGAAGATCCGGGGTAGAACAGGTTTTCAGCAACTATGCTTGTCGTAAGAGGCGACTAACGGGATCGGGTGGTCAGGCTCGCTGACTTGGTTCATGCATGTCATCGTATCCCAATTGCGTGGATCGATGCTCGTGTTATCAATCACTGGATTGTCTGGTCGGTGCTCATGATGTCAGTCACTGGATTGTCTGGTCCGGACTCGATTATTTACAGACCGCCGTCATATAGCTGGAATATTTCTGAGTGTGGCGTTAAACAACAAACAAACATCATCGTTGTGGTGAATCGACGCTTTTGATAAAGTAGTTAAAGAGTTATAGACCTACGGGCTATGTCATAAATGTATTCGCAACATTGTCAGTGACAAAAGGGGAGTTCAGATGGTACCTAAAAGACCTGATCGCTATCAAGATCAACAACATAATTATCAAGTTAAGCTCCATCAATGTGAGTTGACTTTCGTTTCAACTTCAGAAAAAAAGCTTTAATCCTTAATTTGAATGACATGATTAAATGGAACGCGACTCTACCTCGACATATCCTCCCAATGTGTCATATCTGTCAACACATTTGTTTCAGGATTGATGCTTCGAAATAGTTTCAAAGTGGAATATATTAACTCGTTTTCACAGGGTTTCAGATATATATGCATGGTTTCGGTGAAGGATATTCGTAAAGATTTTCAGGGTTTGTACTTTTTCTTATTCGATACTACTGGTTTCTTATAATAAAACAAATTGTACCAACCCGTCAGACTGTTTAGTCTGTATGCTATTACAACTATCATTTTTTGTGAATAATTATGAACGAGTAAGTGAATGGGTGAGTTTTTAAGCCGCTTTTAGCAATATTCTAGCAATATCACGGCGGGGGACACCAGAAATGGGCTTCGCACATTGAATCCATGTCGGAAATCGAACCCGGGTCTTCGGCGTGACGAGCGAACGCTTCAACCACTAGGCTAGCCGACCGCCCCAATTATGAACGATATACGAAGTAATGTGGTCGTAGCAGGGCCCTGACTAGTCTGTCTTACAGACCCTGATACAAATATATATCAAATACAGCCCATGCAAGTCTATAATGTATGGCAAGTCTAGATCACTGCAGTATCTGAAAATGAAGAGAGTCACGGGCTCCTTTTTATTATATTTTTTTTAAGAAAACTGAACAACTGGTTTTTTTTATGTACGATATGTTCATTTCAGAGACTAGATTTTAGTCTAGGCCCTGACACTTGTTGTGTGAAACTGTTTTGAACGAGATGAACTGCAGGTTTTCATCGGGAAAACACTCACAAAATAGCAGCCATTGTTAGTTGGGCTAAAACAACGAGACCAGACTATGTGGTGAAAGATGACGATAAGGGGTCAAGGATATAGTGTACGTGCCGTTCATTAACACATTACTAATAGGGGCAATGTAAGTACAGTATATGTAACATGTGTGAGGTTTGGAAGTGACAGCCCGTCTTATTTATAGCTCATTGAAATGGGTTATTTATTCGGCAAATAATACTCCTTCCATTTTTTAATGAAACACAATCTCGGGAATCTCACGTACGGGATGTAAACATATTTCATTGTCGATTTATGTTGATATCTCCTCCAAAACATTAGAACAGTTCAGTTGGTTTCATAGATACATATATATTTTGTACTGATGAACAGCCGAACACATTCAGGCAAAAAAATATTATGTCTCGAACAAATGTCATATTGAAAATTCAGGTCTCTTTCTTTTGAGACCATCTATCATATAATTGATGCAATTAGTTCTTGTCACGAAAATAGTATCCCCAGGCCGCGTCAGAGCTCCAAGCAACCGTAAACTTCCGGTTGTCATTCATCACTGCGGAGGGGCTTTTGTGATAGTAGACACTTGTGTTTGTTAAGGCACCTACCGCCTGTGAACGGTACAAGATGTCGACAAGGATTATTAGACAAACGCGGGACCCGTTCGAAGCCCTCGAACGGATGCTAAATCGGACAACTTTAGACACTCAAAGAGTTGCACATGGCCAAATAATAGGTAAGTCAGTGGGGATCACTAATGGTTGTTTTCTACTCGGAGGTTTCATGGATATTTTATCAGTGGATCTGTTCAAGTGGCGGTTCAAACACTTTTGTACTTCGTCGCTGACCCCATGAGAGCTTGGAGTCATTTATCAGCTCTCGTGCTTGTTAGCTTTTATGTTACTGCACGCAAGTTCGTAACTGACACCTTATTTTCTTCACTTTGTGAACGCCAATTCACAAGCTCTGTATATAATTTAAGGTAATTTTGTCTTTTTTCTTTATGTCCCCTTTTAACCAGCATTTACATGTGTGAAGTATTATGATTTTATCATAAATATGCAATTGTTGGGTTGTTATTCTACATGGAATGGTTTAGATTGTTTGAAAATTAAATAACTGAGCCTTATGATTAATGGGTCCACGTGAATAACTGAACCAAATTTGACGAGAACCTAGACAAAGGTTCGTGAGTCTATTTAGGTACGAAAGAAGGTTCAATTTCATGACAGAAATTCATATCTTTAAATGAAACATCAGTTAATAACACTATTCTACAAATCTCTATCTCATAACTACATTTCTGTTCCATATTTCGATATTGCTGCAATATTCCAAAAAGCGTGAAGAGTTCCTAACATCCTCCATTTTTGTCCAAGCAGGAAGTGTACATAACTTTCTTATCATTTTTTAGGAAGGGGGAGATACTTGTTTCTTCAAATGTCTTCCTTTTTTACCTTGATATATCTCCTATGTATTTGTAACCTCCACTTGTACACCCCCAGCATGTGCACATTGTGGAGAATAGAGAACACTATTGTAGGGACCACCAGCTACACAATACGCTTTTGGCCCTTGCCGTCCTTGGCCCATCTGCACAAAGAGGTATTAGCGTCACGAAAATTGTAAGCCTATGTTAAAGTATAGGAGTCACAATAGTCGTATGGCAAAGATCGCATTATTGCCTACATATATACATGTCGGAACGAAGCAGGCACATGGGCCACTTTGTACAACGCGATATTAGATCTACGGCTGTCGTAAGTCAGTGCTAATGAATGAGTAACGACCACGTAGCACTAAGATCGTTTTGTGGAAGCACCCCTGGTGCCCTACTTTTCCGTTTTGACATGTATATGGTATGTACAGGCAGCCACACAACATAAAACCTTTGACTGATTGTGTAGGCGACAAGTGAATACCTTCACAAGAACAGGATCAACAAGCCTACTTGAAAGCTTTCAGAGATAACTTTCACCTTGTAAGCAAAGTACAAGCACCTGTTCAGAGCTCTAGCAACGTGTCATGTTAGCTTTGAAAGGCTTGACGTTATGTACACATGACTATGATGGATAAGTTTTATACACAGAAAATTAACCATCTATATTATAGTGATTGATACATATGTTATCGTTTGCCCTGGACAAAAGAACAGACTTGATATTAGAAGGCTATTGTGATGTTTAAGTTTCCTAAAAAACAATCGACCTGTAAAGATCTGGGGTAGAATAGGTCTTCAGCTACCCATGCTTGTCGTAAAAGGCAACTATTCTCGAAAGAGGCCACTAACGGGATCGGGTGGTCAGGCTTGCTGACTTGGTTGATGCATGCCATCGATCCCAATTGCTGGAATATTGCTAAAAGCGGTGTAAAACCAAACTCACTCACTCACCCCAATACAGAATACTACAACATATCTTATCAACTAATAATGTCCTGTAAGAAATAAGATATGTAGATATCAGTAGTTATAGTTTCTGCGCCAAAGATAGAAACAACGGCTCATAGATTCTTGGATTGCAGCAAGGTAAACCTTATCTGGAAATTACTTGAAAAATGGCTTTACGGTGAAATACAAACTTGAAATTAGAAAGAGACACTTCTCACATGGTGATCAGCACTCTGAAAACCTGGGTTCAATTACATGGATACAATGTGCTACGCCCATTTTCTGGTGTACCCCGCCGTGACATTGCAGGAATATTCCTGAAAGCGGCATAAAGCAATACTCACCACATACCACCCGGAAGTCAGTATTTGTCTTTCTGTAAAATGTTGATAAATGCAATAAAAATGTAAAAAAAATATACTCAAATAACACTTCTATTTTTAACATCACTAAGTGCAGTGTTTATGCGTGTGTTAATCCACTATACCGTCTACATACAGATTTCCTACGTTATCTGACAACGATCAAAGTTATTACCTACATGTCAACCAATTCATTTCCAACATGGATACAATAACGTAATCCGTGTGCGTCACAATAAGAGACAAATCGATATATCCCTAACCCTATTATTAATAAACCAGACAGTGTGTCTCCCTGAAACCGTTAACAATGGGTACAGACTACCGATGTCGTCTGACATATTGACGTTCTTGTATACGCTGATCAAAGATAATGATTTACTGGTGCAGGTCGGGTTTGATAGACGAGTTATATGTAATATCACACAATTCCCTGGATACCAGCGAAGTCTATAGAAGCCCCATTGTTACCTGGTGAAGGTCATAATTGTACACTAATCAATATATGGGCGATGATTGTCAATATAAGCCAACCAGTAATCCGTGTACAAATATATCTTGCTGGCCATAACACGACCTAATCGGCGTGACTGCTATACGAGGGGCGTTCAATAAGTTTTACACAGAACAGAACAGAACTTTATTTACGCTCAGGCCGGGATCCTCGGCATATGAGGTACAAATTTGCAAACAGTAAATACATAAGATGGCGGGATGGTTTACATGGAAGATTTTGCAGTTTTCATAATGACATTACAGAATGTACAGAGTTTCTTAATAACATTTATTTTTTTACAATTAAAAGGTTCTTTGAATTTAAACATAAGACAAGACCAAGTCGCAGAATATCTTTTGCACTTTTATTTTTCAATATAATCTCCATTCACCTCAATACACATATTCCATTTGTCCTTCATGCTTTTTTTTATAGAAATCCTCAGATTGGCCCTCTAACCACGCCTCTGTGGCAGCCTTTATGTCCTCGTCATCCTGGAAGCGTCTTCCACGTAGGGCAGATTTCATTTGCCGGAACAGGAAATGGTCACTGGGGTCTAAGTCTGGGCTGTAGGGTGGGTGATTTAACTGTTCGAATCCACATTCACATAATTCACATATGGATTTCTTTTGCTTTGCATCCCTCCTTGGTGAGGAACTATATTTCAGCGCGTTGTTCATGTTTGAGAGAATCCATGATTGTGACCGCCCTTAGATGAATGAAGCCATCACATCTAACTTATTGTTGTGTCTGGAACTTGTTTTGACACGTGTCAACCTGATGTTATGACTAGTGTCACACCTGCCACAAGTTGACATTGTTTGTGTAAACACAAATGCCCAAGTTGCAAAACTTATTGAACGCCCCTCGTATCTCTCAGTTGCTATTATTCAGTGCTTGTCGTAACTAAAATGACGGGTTTTTTTAAGACGGTCAACATGAGGAACATTTATTCACCATCCAAAACTGCCTTCCGCGGGAGATACCACGTGACATCAAGCGACAAATCCTAGGAGATATTGCTAAAATGAATTGCATCACAATGGTTTGCAAACCATTGTGACGTCACCAGTTACCATGACGTCATAATCAGATTTTCATCACTAATCTTTCTGCGACTGAAGCTGAAAGTGTACTTTTTCCTCCTAAGAAAAGGGTTATTACTGTTTATTTTGTATGATAAATAGAATCTCACCCGAGTGTCTTTTGATATCAAATAGAACAACACTCGTCGATACAAGTTTTAAACTCATCGGGAAAACTGTGAGTTTTAAACCTTTATAGTCTGGTGTTGCTATGTCAAAAGACCCTCGATGAGAGTCCTGTGCAGCAAATTAAAAATGACTTCATTATCTTTTGCGTCACTGTGTAAATTTACCCCAAGTGTGCACAACTGTTTTTAACGTTTATAACTCCATACACGCAAAAAACTAACCTATTTTGATGTCAATAAATAAGTCAACAGTAATAACTTCACAGACTGCTTAAATTATCATTTAAAGCAAACAACAACTGTTGAACCTGTAGACAACACGAAATCGGCTATTTGGGACATCGTTTAGCGCAATAATGTAGGACAAGCCCCGCCCATTCCATTATCAGCCAGTCAGAAACAGCAGTCCGTCAGTGGGGCGTGGCCTGTTTTTCTTCTGTTTGGTTAAACTGTAAAACACCACGGAATTATTTGCAATATATTTATTACTAGTTATAACTTATTTTCTTTATGTGTATCAGGAGACGGATACAGTCCTCTGATCCGCACTGTTTAAAGATAATTACAACCAAACCCTTAATTTTAACCCTTCACCAAAACGTACTTTGATTTAGTATTTCTTCAGTATCTTTTCAGTTTTTAGGATTACTGTTTTTCACCACCAGTCTTTGAAGCTTTAAATAGTTAATGTGTTTATCCATTTATGTTGGCTTGCTTATCTGTCCGACCTCTGTTTTATTTTCAGGTTCTGCTGTTCACTTTATATGAATTGAGCTATTTTCAGTTTTATTAACCCAGTTGTGTTGCTGTCATCTTTTCTTCTTGGATCACTTTTGCTTGTCTCCTCTTGACCCCCCTGTCCGAGCTGTGAGCATGTAATAAATAGAGGAGGCCAATGGGCAATCGTTTTTGTTCCTAAGGGCAATAACTCCTTTTGAAATGATATAAGCGACGGTCCAACCTGTTGCTTCCGGTCTGGTTCCCGGGTCAATGTTCGCTGCGACAACTATAGTGACATGTAGAGACGGAGTCAATCTAAAGTGTTACCCTGTTTCACCTTAATTCATAAACGGTCGTTTACAACTGAATAATACAAACTAGCACATATTGTGAAGTGATTATTTGTTTAGAATATCAACATGATTTGTTGTACCGTTGACATCACATCAGGATCTCGGCAAAATGCACGATTAGTGTCATTATAGGAATATACTTGACGTGTTCAAACAATTTCTCTTGAAATTCACAGGACAAAGGCTTCTCCTGGGTAGACGCATCAACAAGCATGATTTTGTCTGTTTGTTCAACGCCGCACATAGCAATATTCCAGCTATATGACGGCGTTCTGTAAATAATCGCGTCTAATAACATCATGAGCATCGATCCACGTAATTGGGATACGATGACATGCATCAACCAAGTCAGCAAGCCTGACCACCCGATTCCGTTAGTCGCTTCTCACGACAAGCATGGTCGCCTGTTACGGCAAGCATGGGTTGCTGAAGACCTATTCTACCCCGGATCTTCACGGGTCCGCATGGTATTGAAAAATGTCAAATGTGTGTGGCCCCATGTACGACTATGCATGAGCGTCGGACGGTCACAACTTCGACGGATGGCGAATGGTCCTTTAGTGGTTGCCCGGGCGTCAAGGAGAGCACTAAACAGCTGGATCTGACTGTGTAATCTTGCTCCATAGCTGTTGATCTTCGCTCACACTGTCGACCTTTAGTTTGTCTGGTCCAGAATCCATTACTTACATGCATCGTATTAAATAGGTAGTATTGCTGACATTGACGTAAAATCGCCCTTCATTCTGACAAACGACTGGTTATGATGTCAAGAACATACATGAGTTGGACAGTTTTAGTACTCTTGTATTCAGGATTCCAGGTGAAAATAGACCCCAGTACCAGCGATAGAAACTAACAGTTTTAGTCCACTAGTCCTTATAATGATAACATGTAGCAGAACCCTTAAAATGGCAAATAAGTAATTGTACTTATGATTCCTTAAGTAGTGGGCAGTTTGGCAAGGACTACAGGACTAGTGCCAATTTCTAACACTGAGTATCCATGCTTGTACTAGGTGACGTACTGGAACAGATTTCGTCACGATATGGCTGAAATATTGCCGATGTGACGTTAAATCTTAACTCACTGGATCAGATTGGCATTCTTCGTAGATTCGACTACTTAGTCGATTGTATGTCAATCGTAGACCGACCGCATGGGACTTTGTTCATATCATCCGTCACAAAGACACTGTATTAACATGTGCACCTAAACTAAAGATTTTCAGTTCCGTTACTGTACCCACAGTTTAACCTCACTACCCACTAACCGGCATGCACCTGTGTGTGGATACTGTAGATAGACCAAATTAGAAGCAAGATTCAAACCAAACCGCCATTTCAGAGCTTGGCGGGCGCATGCTCACAGTTCAGACGGACGACTCAAAGGAAGAGCGGGAAAAGGCTATCCAGGATGCCGTGGACGCAGCAGAAGCACGTGCAACACGAGAACTGCGTGCGGCGCTCAAGCGTATGAAGGACCAGAAGGACGCAGAGCGGAGGCGGGCTTTGCAAACTCAGAAAGAGGTCAGCAGACATGAGGAATCTTTCTCCAGTAACTTACTTGAGTTGCTGGTCTTATGGCAAATATGAACTATGTATACGCGTGTGAGTGAAATCTCATTAAAATTAGATCTTAGTTCTCGCTACCGGTAAACAAAGATATGTGGATATCCCATTACGGTTCACGTTAGAACGGGGGCGGTCGGGTAGCCTAGTAGTTAAAGCGTTCGCTCGTCACGCCGAAGACCCGGGTTCGATTCCCGACATGGACACAATGTGTGAAGCCCATTTCTGGTGTCCCCCGCCGTGATATTGCTGGAATATTGCTAAAAGCGGCGTAAAAACATACTCACTCACTCACTCTTACCAGATCAGGAAAGTGACAGTCGGAATGTGATTTCTAAACACACAACCTCGAAAAGTTTGACACAGGATATTCCGAACAACCGTTACGGGATGTCCAACTGATTCCGTAAAAATCATCGTCTGTTAGTCGTTTCATGGGGATAAAAATGAGTGAGTGAGTGAGTATGGTTTTACGCCACTTTTAGCAATATTCCAGCAATATCACGGCGGGGGACACCAGAAATGGGCTTCCTACATTGTACCCCTGTCGGGAATCGAACCCGCGGGTCTTCGGCGTGACGAGCGAACGCTTTAACCACTAGGCTACCCGACCGCTCGATAAACATTTGAAAAGGAAGAGACTTTCCATTGCCCGTGGAAAGTACTGACATACAATCTCGGCCATCTATTAGACATTCCATAATTTTGGTTTGATCTGTTTTCCAAATTTGAATCGAGCACTGTCAAAATATTTTGCAAAGGGTAGTCTGGAATGGAATTGGACAGTTTGAAACTAGCGCCGTAAAGCTCGAGAACACACCTTTATGATTATCTTTTGTCAACTTTATGTTAGTCATTTCATTGGTCGGTACAAGTTCGCGAATGGTCGTTTTAACGCGACTTCTAATGGCATGTCCTCAGATGTTTGTTTAGCCATAGCGAGAAGAGAGATCTGAGTATAATGAGATTGGTGTGAGTGAGTGTGCCTTCACGCCACTCTCAGCAATGTTCAGCATTATTACAGCTGGGGTCACCAGAAATGGGCTTCACACATGGTACCCATATGGGGAATCGGACCTACGGTACTCTCCCGGCCAACAAATATTAGACAAAACCAACATGCGAACTAACTGCTGAGCACTGCCAAACACAGCTGAGGAGTGATGTAGGCGTCCTTCAGTAACCCACTGTTGCGGCATCACCTCCGAGCTACAGTGCTGGAAAGACAAGAGTATGGCTTTACGCCGCTTTTAGCAATATTCCAGCAATGTCACTGCAGGGGACACCAGAAATGGGCTTCACACATTGTACCCATGTGGGGAATCAAACCGGGCTTTGGGCGTGACGAGCGAATGTTGTAATCACTAGGCTACCCCGCCACCCCTTCATGCATTGAAATCACTAAGTAAATACATAATACATAGATATAAATAATTGTTTTCCCATGTCAAATAACCTGTTATCTCGTTGCCTGACGAAGTTGACATATTCCCTCGTGACTGCGGTATGTGAATGATAATTTTGTCAGGTCACTCGATGACATGAATATGATTTATTTGCTTGTTGTTTAACGCTGCACTCAGCAATATTCCTGCTTTATGACGGCGGTCTGTAAATGAAAGAGTCTTGACCAGACAATTCAGTGATTAACATCATGAGCATCGATCCACACACATGGGATATGATGACATGCATGAACCAAGTCAGCGAGCCTGACCACCCGATCCCTTTTGTCGCCCTTTACGACAAGCCTGGGTCGCTGGGGGTGTGAAACAATATGGATACGTGTCCTCACACACACACACACACACACACCACACCCACACCCACACCCACACCCCTATTTACCATCCGAATAATATATGTTGGCCCAGTTGTCTAAGGCGCCGCAATTCGCTGTGTAGAGTTGCGAGTTGCGTCACTTGGGGGATGCCAGAAACCTATATGAATGTGGGTTCAAATCCTGGTTCACCCCGATCATATATGTTTCTAGTTTTGTCAGCGCCATACCCGTGCTGGTGGGTTTCACCAAGGTGGTACACGCCTGAGACCTGCATCACTTCCGGCTTACCCCCCACACATTTAGCTGACTCGCTGTGATAGAGCTGCAATACTCACTCACTCACTCACTCACTCAGAATATATTTGATCATCATTTCATAATTTCAATGATCTTGGACTTTATCGTAGAAAACGTTACATTTATATTTATTTACCTTATTAGACATTTATAGACGAACACGATTTCATGAGATGTTTCTTTTATGTAAGTACTTCGAGCGTTTGGCTCAGAGAGTATCAGAACAGAGGGACAGAGCAGAGGAGGAACGAATAAAGGAACTGACGAAGAAATTACAGAAAGAGAAGGAGGAAGCCCTCAAGCAGCAATGGGAAGACTGCGAAAGACTGAAGGAAAAAGCCATTGCTGACGCATGCACAGCGCTCAGGAAAAGCTTGAGAAATGAGTTTGCTTTGGAAAAAGAGCGGGCTGTAGCACAGGCTCTGAAGGCAGCAAGGGTAAATCCTGAGAGCTATGTATTTTCCTTTCTGTGTGTTTGTTTGCTGATACATATGTACGTATGGTATTTTTATAAATCTCGCGGACAGCCTCAGTGGTTTAGTGGATCGAGCGCCTGCCCGGAGAGCGGAAAGACGGTGATTCGATCCCAAAAGACGTTAAAAGATGGTACTTGTTGTTACTGTGCGAGCCGTTCTGTGTACGATAAAAATTTGAGAAATTTACTGTTTTTCAACGCAGATTAAATTCTCGGACAACACTTAGAAGTGTATTTTTTTTAAACCGGTTTAATATTTCCAGTTTACTTTACACCATCAAATTGGAAATTTAATATTCTCCCCCTCTGCGTAATTATATAGCCAGAGGTATATCCAGTGCCGCGTGAGCGCAATTCTCGCACAACCTTCACTTTTCCGATCTTAGGAAAATGTGCGTCAGAAAATAAACTCGGCATCCAGAGGGTTAAAAGATGGTACTTGTTGTTACCGTGCGAGCCGTTCGCCATTAGGGGATAAAACAAGGACTGGTCAGCATTCTGTGACTCCGTCAGGGTCGCGGGAGTTATCATATCCCAATTGCGTAAATTGATGCACACGATGTCAAACACTGGATTGTCTGTTCCAGACGTCATATAGCTGAAATATTGCGGCGTTAGACAACCACAATGCACTGTATCTGTGTGGAGTATCTATGTTCAACTGATGGTATCTCAGTGGGCTAGCGCTGTACAGCCAGCATTAGTCCGGACTAGTACAATCAGCCACACACACGCCTGCATACACGTCGCTACATAAATGCAATGATCTTTAACATGACAACTTTGCCCTGGATGCATTATCAACATGGTAAATGAGTGACGGAGTATGGTTTTACGCCGCTTTTAGCAATATTCCAGCCACATCACGGCGGGGACACCAGAAATGGGCTTCACTCATTGTACCCATGTCGGGAATCGAACCCGGGTCTTCGGCGGGACGAGCGAACGCTTTAACCACTAGGCTACCCGACCGCCCCCATAGTAATTGATATTGTGAGTGGTTTAACGCCGCTTTCAACATAATTTCAGTTATATTAAGGAGACTGACTGTACAAAGAGCATCTATAGATTCCGGCGTGTTACACCCCATTGATTACTTCCATGTCGTCAGTGGGTTACATTGCCTCTTAAATGTGCCGCTGATCTTGACAATAATTACGTGGAGTTTCCAATGCAGAATTGGTAACCAGCACCTAAATGTTTATGGTGAGGGTCGACTGAGATAAGTATAGGCGGTTACTAGGTAGACTGTCAGCGCACACCAACGGACCCGTGAAGATTCGGGGAAGAATAGGTCTTCAACCCATGCTTGCCGTAAAAAGGTGACTATGCTTGTCGTAAAAGGCGACTAACGGGATCGGTTGGTCAGGCTTGCTGACTTGGTTGATGCAGGTCATCGATCCCAATTACGCGGATCGATGCTCATGATATCAATCACTGGATTGTCTGGTCCAGATTCGATTATTTACAGACCGCCGTCATATAGCTGGAATATTGCTGAGTGCGGCTTTAAACAACAAACGAACAAACAAACAAGTACACCAACGGCATGATAGTTCATCATACTGCAAACCACTGATTTGCCAGGTCCAGATTTGATTTTTACAGACGCCATGATATAGCTGGAATACTGCGGACAAAACTCACTGTATCGTATATAATATTCCATCTGAATCATGACTGCATTTGTGACGTTCATTCCATCAGTACCAACATATAGAATTCCACTCGTGTATGAAGTTGTTACCTGGATCTAATACAACTGTTTGTACTTCAGGAAATGTTTAAGAAACGTGAAGAGGAAGTTATTGCCTTTACAACCAGACAGTGTGAGGAGCGCGCAAGACAGGAAGCAGAGAGAGTCGCGCGGCTTCACCAACAGGAAGTGAACAGACTTAATCAAAAGTATATTCAGTTTTTAGTCTCATGTTTCCTTCTTCGTGCAATGTGTGGGTTATATATAGAGAGAATCTCATCCGAGTGTTTTTCGAGATCAACCATATCAAGACGAGTTGCGAAAAGTTACATATAGCCAATAAACAACAAGTCTTGATACACTGGAGGTTGGAAGACACGAGGGTGAGGTTCTACAGTAAAGTACGGTTATAACGAACTCAAAGACTACTAATTTTAGTTTGTTATAACCGTAGTTCGTTATAAGCATATATACAGCATAACTACAGCAAATAGTCGAGACCAAAAAAGTAAGTTCGTTATATCCGTAAGTTCGTTATAAGCGTGTTCGTTATAACCGTAGTTTACTGTATTTATCATCCATATCAAAATTCTAGCTTTTTCTCTTTGTAAACAGTAAACTCCAGGCGGGCTATTCTCGAAATGTCGTATATTGCCACTGTCATAAACACTTTTCTTGACACTCACTCTTGTGGTCTGAAATGATACTGTAACAGCAGACCGTATTTTGTCAAATCGTTTTCGTCAACATGCCGTCTTTTGGGCTGCCATTTTACCTGTCGTAAACTCCTAAGACAGGTCCTGTCTTCATGTTTGTCGTACGTTAACGTAGCGCTACGACAGCTTCGAGAATAGACTTAGCTAAGATAGTTTTCGTTAAGCGAGCTTCGTGAAAAGACCGCCAATGTAAGTAGAAGAGGGACAGCTTCAGTGGCAGAGAGATTAATGAATAATGATGTCATTCGATTGTGATGTCATGGTAACCAATGACGTCACAGTGGTCGCGGGATCTTGTTTCATTTAGCAATGTCTCTAAGGAGATATCACAATTTTCTTCTGTGCGCCGTGCTTTATTTATTTGGTTTGAGATGGGGATGAGTAAAAGTTGTAAAGTTGTAAAGAAACTCTGAACAGAAACCTTATCTTTATCTCCCATACGTATTAATGATGTGTACAAAGGAAATGCATAAATCATTATAAAAATATTTTTTTCAACATTCCTTACTGTAAATTATTACACTACACACGTTAGTCAGGCTCAATGACCAAAGGGAGCCAAGCACTGTCGTGGGGACAGGCGGGAAACGTTGACTCTGTTTGTAGCGCGTTATGAACACTGTTGTACAGCGTGAATAATTGACGTGTCGGGCTGCAGGAGGAAACATGCAGTTGGCAAAGCGTGAGGGAGGTAACTCTCATAGAGATTTATGATTCGTGGTTATACTAGTATTCAAACCGCGAACTCACAGCATTGTTGGTTTCCATTTTAACAATATCTGCTGTCCCCCACCGATCTACCACATTATATAATAATATTACGACAATGTAACTATTACTTTGAAAAGATTAATAATTTAAAAAATAAGTTCACCGCTGTAGGCTAAGACCAGTTTTATGCCACTCCGTCCAGCCATTGTGTCACTGACATAATTGTTCGATCAATTCTAGATAATGTAACATGTGTTGCTAGCACATATGCTAACAAAAGAGTGTTTATGCCTTTCCATTAAGTTAAATTTTAAACATTTTTCACGTCTTCCGCTAGGATTGTGTCGACTCAATACCTTTTGTTCCATGAAAATAAGAACAAATGTTTCAGAAAGTCATCGTTTTGAAAACATGTTAATAATTTTGTTTTCATGATGTGTTTGTTTTCTATTTTCATATTTCATATGTAGTTAAAATAAAACGTGTCATGTTCTCATTCCAAGTTAATTAATGTTTCGTTTTTGGAAATTATCTTTGAAATTTTCCGTTGTTAGTTTTTTCATAGGAACATTGAGATCAAAAATATTATTTGACTATTCACATACGGACTCTTGTAGGCACGCATGTTTAATGTCAGAAGTTAACTATGTTATTTTTTTTTTCTCGAGAATTATCGCATACTTTTTTATGGGGATTTCTTCTATGTCTTTGTACTCATTTACTCCCCTTTCAATAATATTGATTAAGTTAGTGAGTGAGTGAGTATGGTTTTATGCCGCTTTTAGCAATATTCCAGCAACATCACGGCGGGGGACACCAGAAATGAGCTTCACACATTGTACCCATGTCGGGAATCGAACCAGGATCTTCAGCGTGACGAGCGAACGCTTTAACCACTAGGCTACCCGACCACCCCTATTGATTGAGACATAGACGTTGAGCCACGACCAGCGTGTCGCTGATATTGACAATTGCCAGTCACCCATTGCAGAATTGGTCCCTTCACCCAATTGCTCGTCGTGAGATCTAACTGAAGTGAGTATCGGCGCGGTTACCTGGCTGAGTGTTGGGCATCGTACACCCACCTCCTCTCACTGGACCCATTTTATGTTTCAGACCGCCTCCGTGGTCTAGTGGTAGAGCGTCCGCCCGGAGAGCGGAAAGTCTGGGGTTCGATACCCGACCGCGTCACACCAAAAGACGTTAAAAGATGGTACTTGTTGTAACCCTGTCTGGCGCTCGGCATTAAGGGGCTAAAACAAGGACTGGTCGGCTCGGAGTCAGTATGCTGTGTCTGAGTGGGGTATTCATGTTAAACTGCGGCATGGTATCTCAGTGAGCTAGCACTATAAATCGGCAGCAGTCCGGACTAGTACAAGCAGCCACACAAACACACACACGTACATGCTCGTCGCTATATAAGTGCAATAATCTTGGACACAACGTTAAACCCCATTTCACCTCACCATCTTATGTTTCAGGTACGACAACCTAGAGACGAAGTACCACAGGGAACTAGCACACAGGCAACGAGTCGAAGATGACTTCAGGGTATTTATAAACCAGTTATAATTAGTAGAAGTAAATATATCGTAGCACGTCGAGGTTTCATTTCAATCCGCTTGACATGAGAATACTTCTTACGGTCAACATTTCTCAATCAAGCACGAATTGTCGCCCTTAGAATGGGCTTCCAAACAGATTATTTTTTAAAACCGCAAGTTTACCTAATGTTTCAATAAGTAGGGAAATTCCTCTTTCGACAACTCTGTGATGTGACCTGTTTTCGTGAAAACAACCATTTTGTCTGTTTCAAGTTCAAATGCTAAGAAACCGTAGACAGTGGCCTCCGCAGACACATGCACGTCCGCGTTGACGAAGGAACAAATGATGTCCATGAACAAGAACTAGAACAATTAATCTGGCGTTCTGAATTCCTTCACGTACTGTTGACGATTCAGACCCGTGCAGATCCGGGGTAGAATAGGTCTTCAGCAACCAATGCTTGTCGTAAGAGGCGACAAACAGGATCGGGTGGTCAGGCTCGCTGACTTGGTTGATGCATGTCATCGATCCCAATTGCGTGGATCGATGCTCATGATGTCAGTCACTGGATTGTCTAGTCCAGACTCTATTATTTACAGACCGCCGTCATATAGCTGGAATACTGCTGAGTGCGGCGTTCAACAACAAACAAACAAAACAAAATGTGGTCGACTAAATGTAACTGTGTCCCTGTGCATGCCCAGGAGTGGTTTCTTTGGAAAAAGAGCATACGTATTTATTTTTAACTTTCCTAATTTTCCAGGCGTTGCAGGACGACTACAGGCGATTCATGGACTACACTGACGGCAAGTTTCACTCCGACTACCTCATGAGCCTGCGATATCATGGAATGTTGAAGGCACAGAAGAAAATCAGCGAGGTCACATATGAGGATCTAAGTCCGACACATGGAACTAGGAACTCGATCGTTTTCCTTTGAAATCACGCTCCATTGTATTCGGATTATCGGCCCAGTGTTATAGTCACATAAGTTCTGGTGATATTCTCAATATGTCTCCATTGGAATATCCCGCGACCGGATGTTAGGTGGCAGGTAACACATCAGCAGACGACAACACAGGGTCCATTTCCTTAAGGCTTCATTCCAAAGTGTATGTTTTGTTGACAAATGACCAATGAGACCCCATCTTTTCACAGTTGTCGCTAGCCTTCTGTAGATCAACAGCACATCCTGTCGTCTGCAAATCACTGTTACCGTCAGCAGATGGTTGACGTCTGTTGGAGCCTGACGAAGGATAATGTTGTTTGCAGTTTGACAAAGGAAGGCACAGATTGCTGTGCAGACTTGCGTCATAGCAGCGTTTGAAACTAACATTTTTAGTTCACCAGGTCTTATGACATATACCAATCCCCTTAAAAATTGGAAATTTCAACTTGTCCATATGAAAAACCAAGTGCAAGATTATTATGTTGTAGGCAGTAAATCATCTTCCCGAGGCAAGAGAGTTAACTGACTTTAAAAGTCCAGTTTCCACCCTTGCCGAACTTGGCTGGAATTCCTTGGCTCGATCGTAGCGCCACCAGTGGTTATTACGAGTTATGTCCCTTTTAAGCCTCTACTATGGACCAATCAGATTCCATCACTTGCATTTGTTTCAAACAAAACGGTGGCGCCCAGTCAAAACGATCTGATCGTTAATCAAGATCTATGTTGGGATAAAACGGGTCATACATTGCGAAGTCAATCAAATCACGCGGACACCTTTATCAAAAACATGAAAAGGTTCGGAAAATATCTGTTGACAACGTTTTGGCGGTGCAGATACTTTGCAAACACTGCAATCGACCGAAATCTGCGCGACTATGCATAGACTCGTTAGTCCAGTCAAAAGGTAACTCCATAATACCAGCCTAGTTCGGCAAGGGTGGAAACTGGACTTTTATAGTCCGTTAACTCTCTTGCCTCGGGAAGATGGCAGTAAATGGGACAGAGAGGATTTTTATATTTTGGACCCGTCCCTTTTTAAAATGCTGGATCCGCCCCTGTGCGTCCTTTGGTGTTATCAGTAACCAATGGTAGGGAGTTCGAATCTAAATCTAAGATCTACACCACTTATGGGACTCCCTCCCAAATTATGATGACTTGGGAAAATGATGTTCAAGGCAGTGTGAACACAACTCACATACTCGCACACAACACAAAGGATATTATTGTGAGCACGGTATTAGGTGCAGATTGTCGTCATCCGGGTTGGTAAAAATTGGATTTGCTTAATATTTACCAAAATATTTGATATTATGCAACATTTCATAGTGCTATGCCAAGATGAAACACATTATCAGGCTGCAAAATTTGAAAAGGAATAACGTTATAAACATAATTGCTGTAACTCCTTGTAGGCTTTTAAAAATCATATTTCACATGAGGGCCTCGTTTCTATGTTAAAGTATTGTAGTTAGGATAGCCGTAGCGGAATATAGAGGCATACGTTTGTCATATTGTGTATGTTAGACCTCAATAACCGATGTTTTAAGGATACCACTATATCATGTACAGTATTAATGAATATGGGGCGGTCGGGTAGCCTAGTGGTTAAAGCGTTCGCTCGTCACGCCGAAGACCCGGGTTCGAATCCCGACATGGGTACAATGTGTGAAGCCTATTTCTGGTGTCCCCCGCCGTGATGTTGCTGGAATATTGCTAAAAGCGGCGTAAAACCATACTCACTCACTATTAATGAATATTGTCCATAAGACGCTGTAGTCGCTTGTTCTTTCTCCGCAGTGCAATATGTTAGCACGCGTTGAAACCGCTTCGAAATCAAAATGTACATAGACTTATTCAGTGTAAGGGACTTTAGTACTACATATAGCGGCTTCTAGTGCGATCGGAACAAATGATGCTTTCGTTAGAAATTAATAATTATTCAAGTCGTATCATGTAGACAGATTACATTTCTCCCGATAGCTGTTATTGATCACCTGTCGTGTACGGTAGACTTCAGAAGATTAATGTGATGCATGTACAATGAAGCATTGGTCTGCTTCTGTTTATTCTTACACTTTGAAGACTTGACCTGTTATAATTTAAAACGCCCGAGACCTGTATCACTCCTGCTTTCCTCCCACATTAGGCTGACAATAACTGGAATACAGTAAGATGTGGCGTTAAATCCAAATCACTCATTGACTCGTTACTTCTCTTCTTCTTCCAACCCAATGCTGTTAGTTGACATACCTTTGGGGTTTGGACAAGACGAGAAGACGTGGCATGAGATTCTGAAGCTGCTAATCAAGCAAAACGAAATTCACAAAGTAGAACATCAGTTTGATGAGTTCATTTCTTCGTGATCATTGCATGAGTCACACAAGCATCTCGTAGTTCCCCTTATGTTATGATTGAACTTGAAGTTTAAGAAACGTTTTATTACTGTTGTGGTTTCAAATTTCAGTTTTGAGTTCATTTCTTGAAAACTTATGTGTTTCAAAAGAGAACAGCTTAATTTGTTTGATGTTGAATTATATTCTATTTCTAAAACTATTCACCAACTATTGTAAAGCGATCTTGGAATGGGTTGTGTTGGTTCACTTTCGAGGAAGGGTATTTTGTGCCTATATTCTTGTCAAGTAACGTTATGAGATGTTGTCATGAAGTGAACTGTATGCTTATTGTTATCAGTATTATTCATAGCTTGCAATATCTGTAGCTTCAGCTGGTATAGCGAACCATCATGTGAAAAAACAACTCCTGTTTTGCACACCACGTCCATTAAATATCTGAACATCCGATTGCCAGGAGTCGTTTTTAAGTCTGTGTTAAACATCATACACATACTCTAACATGTGCCCAAATCAGCGAAAAGCCTTTTAAAACTTGGAACATACGTGCCCAACACGGTGAAGAGCTTGTTAACACTTGAAACATATGTGCCCAACACAGTGAAGAGCTTGTGAACGCTTGAAACATATGTGCCCCAAACCTTGAGGAACCTTTAACACTTGGAACAGATGTGCCCAACACAGTGAACGCTTGTCACCTTTCGTATTTGGTGCCTTGAGGGAACAGGTATGTTGGTTCGCAGTACCAGTATGATGCTTCCTACGTTCACCTACTTTTACAGATGTTCGTACAGTAACTCTTTCAGTGATAACATCATCATCAATCCTCCTGGCTCTAAATTTGTTTCCAGGGGCGGTCGGGTAGCCTAGTGGTTAAAGCGTTCGCTCGTCACGCCGAAGACCCGGGTTCGATTCCCGACATGGGTACAATGTGTGAAGCCCATTTCTGGTGTCCCCCGCCGTGATATTGCTGGAATATTGCTAAGTGCGGCGTAAAACCAAACTCACTCACTAAATTTGTTTCCAGCTTCGGCTGCGGGCAATTGTTTTGTTTGAGACTGATTTTTTTTACAACATGATGTTAAATGAGAGGCAAACCCATGTTATACCCTCGAGTGAACGATGTTTTTACACAAACCTTAGGAAAACTAATTGAAAAAATTGCCTTTACATATTCAAGAATGGCTTCAAAATGGCAGATGGATCCTGCTTACGCAAGAGTTACCGTACGGACATTAATGTCAAAAGTATCTGATTTGATCTCCAGTTGTTTAAGTGTGTCCATACATCTTTACAGACTAATGTTTATTATGTATATAGAGGATTCATCATAAGTGTTTTTTAATATGGGTAATATCAACCGAGTCTTAGTTAATCGGTATTTGCCGAGCCTTTGGCGAGGCAAATACCGATTAACGGGACGAGGTTGATATTTCCCATATTAAAAAAACACGAGTGATGAATTCTATTTATCATTTTCACATTTTTGCTTCCAAATTAAGGAATAATTGCATTAAACATTAACATCAGCAACTTGTCGAAATCTTACGTAAAGATCGTGCGTAGTGATACATGTTTTCCATAGCCATGTAAACCAAAATAAACAATTCGCTGAGAAAAAGAGTTCCTCGGATTATTTTAAACAAAATACTTGAACAGACTTTTGCAGAATAATTGAAACTTTAATAACGGTAACAACAACGATTCTGTGTAATCTGATTATATCTCTGGTGTAACTTCACTTATAATATATAGTTTCAAATCAAACCGCTCGCTCTTCCGGTTATCTAATTTGCATATCTAATTTGCATACTTATGTCATTGGGGTATGACATACATGTTTTTATGTCATAAGCTTATGTCATGGATAAATGCTTAAGTTAAATGATAAATGTTAATATTACCTGTTAGTTATACAATGTTATCTAGCGTTGACTGGTTATAATTATGTTTCCTCCATTGATGTTTGGATTTTTCCGTTGTGTTTAATGGTATCAGGCAGCCCCTGGTGCAAGATTGTACTGACTCGTCAAGCATGTCATCTACTCAGGATACATCCCACAGTACATCAGAGTACATCTGAACAACCTGGGACATTCGGGAAAGAAGACAACTACGTTAATTATATTAAAGTTAAGCGAATCCAGTGGGGACAGTGACTTTTATTTTCTCAAATGTGACGTCAAATCACCCCTATATGTGAAGTTTGGGGAATATTTTTGTGTTAATTGTGTGTACGGATGATCATTAAGGTTTGTTTTGAACTAAAAGTAACATATTAACCCCATTTCAGTTTGGAGTTGAGCCAGTTTTGGTTTGTTTGTTGTTTGACGCCGCATTCAGCAATATTCAAGCTATATGACGGCGGTCTGTAAATAATCGAGTCTGGACTAGACAATCCAGTGATTGACATAATGAGCATCGATCCTCGCAATTGGGATACGATGACATACATCAACCAATTCAGCGAGCCTGACCACCCGATCCCGTTAGTCGCATTGTACGGCAAGCATGGGTTGCTGAAGACCTATTCTACCCCGGATCTTCACAGTATAATTGAGCCAGTACTTGGGTGGAGACAATTGTAGCGTGCAGGCTGTGGTGATGTGTTGGACATCTCGTAGGGCCGTTTAGTGATTCAGCAACGGCTCTTGTCTACGTATGACCTTGGTTATTGTTTTCAGGGAGTAACGACATGCAAGACATGGTCCAGGAATCTAGTCGTGCTTCCCATCACTTATGTCAGTGAACGCTGTCCAGGAATATATCTAGCTGTACATCACCATTGCCTTTTTACTATACTGACCTACATAAACCGAAGTAAAGGTATTTTTCTACGCATGTGTTGGATTTATTTGTAGCTAACCTGACTGGGAAAACAAATGTCTTAAAAATGCAATGAAATGTGAACAGTAAACTACCTTTATAACGAACACGCTTATAACGAACTGACCGATATAACGAACTTATTTTTTAGTCCCGGTCATTTGTTGTATATATGGTGTATATATGCTTATAACGACCTACGGTTATTACGAACTAAAACTAGTGGTCCCTTTGAGTTCGTTATAACCGTAGTTTACTGTATATGTGCAGAGAGTGGGACGCAATATGCGCTCTCTACATTGTTTCGAGATTTCAGTTCTGAACTGGATTTGACCTTTGCACTGTTACGAAAAATGCATTCCGGACCGATAAAGCCCAAATTTGGCATGCATGTGTTCTAATGATGACACGATAGTCTGTTGAACA